GAAAATTTGAATTAGAAGTTGTGTTAAACTTAGAATATGGGGTGAACAAAAAGAAGTGTGGGGTTTAAATAGAAAAACTATTCTTCTTTTTTCTGTCCAAAAAATTTTCTATTTTTAACTTAACAAAGAGAAAAAAGGACCCCTCCCTACTGTCACTTTTTTTTAAAATTTTTTTTAAAGAGAGATAAAAAGGATTTCTTTTAACTACATAAAACCCCAAACTATTATTTTAACCTTCTTCGTTAAAAAACAGTTAGTAAATCTGTTAAATGCTTATATGGCAATGGCGAATTTCTATCGAGTTTCAATGTGTAATTTCTTTACACACAAAAAAAAAAACAAAAAACAAAAAAAGAAGTGTAATTTCTTCTCATTCCAATATACCTCCAAGGTGATTTCAGAGTGCCTTTATATCCGTATGATTGCCACAACATGATAATTCAAACAAAACGATCTTGTGCCTGCAATGACTTTTCTTTTGTTGTGCTATTTGGTTCTTAGGTTTTTATCATGTGTCCACTTTGATCGTTTCAAGAGTTGTTTTCAAAGGAACAAACATGATGCACTACCTCTTAAACCACGCACAGAGTTAAATATTTTTTTAAGCAACAAATGCAATCCATATCGACTATGTGCAACTCCAGCTATTGATTTTATTATTTTCTTAGGAACAAATGTAATGCATTACATCGAGGAATTCATAATAATTTTATTTGAGGAACACCCTTTAGGGTCTCTAATAATTTTTTTTTCAACAATCCAAATCGTCTATATTTCATTTCTTCATTCATAGATCATCCTTGCAAAAAATCATGCAAATTGAAATTATTAAGGCATCTAATTGGGACCAACAAAATAAACAAATATGGTACTTCAAGAAAAGACTACAATAACAACCATCGAATTGAGTGGTCAAATGGTTTCGTGTTCAAATGATTTTTTGCAAAGATGATCTTTGAGGCAATATCTAAAAAGTAGACATTCAGATTATTGAAATAAAATGGGTGGTGGGCTCTACAAGAGTATCCCTCAAATAAGTTTATTTAAGGAATCACTCAACTGAAGTGAGAGAGAGAGAGAGAGAGAGAGAGAGAGAGAGAACTATTGCATTAGCCCCATCAACTATTCATAGAGCTACAAAAATTTAAATTTACTAAACCTTTTAGTTGCGTAGAACTTCTCTTTCCAATGTTAAAAAAGTTCCCAAATTCAAAACTCCCCCTTCCCTTATTAATAATATAAAAAAATTGAATTTATTTTCTTTTATGTGTATATATATATATATATATATATATATATATATACATTAAACCAATTGCCCTTTCTTGGACAAATTGGCCAAAATTTGCATTTTTTTAGAAAAAGAAAAAATACAAATTCCAAAATTATTTAGAGCTTCTAATACTTTATAACATGTATACTAGTTGAATTAAAGATCAATCGTATTGAAATGTTTTTCTCGAGAGCATTAATTCCTCTGAGTCTCATATATGCTAAAATTGAAACCTAATATGAGAATATTTGTTTGTGAGAATTTTCTGTATATTCTTCTCCTTGTAGGAGGTCATATTTATAATACAATGGAGCTTTAGTGGCCAAGTAAATAATAAATTCATATTTCTATTTACAGTAGGAAATCATAAATTAAAGTAAATCAAATATAATTATAATGGGAATCCTTGGTGTTTAAGAAAAGAAAGTCAATGGTCCACAAGTCAAGCCAACACTCCCTCTCACGTTGGTGCATAGATGTTGCCAATGCCCAACTGGTCCAGTGAATTGTGGAATGTCCTATTGGAAATTGCCTTTGTCAAAATATCCGCCAATTGATCATCGGACTTTACGAAAGGAAACTGAATCACTTTAGCTTCGAGCTTCTGTTTGATATAGTGTTGATCTACCTCAACATGTTTGGTGCGATCATGTTGAACTAGATTCTGCATTGGATAAAGCAACCACCTTTTATTTCTTGCTCCTCCTTGTAACCAAAGTACCTCCCACAATTGTGAAGTAGCCAGATGTGGATTTCCTATTCGTTATACTTCTTGCCCAATCTACATCTATGTAACCATTAATATTCAGATGACCATGTTTTGAGAACATAAGTCATTTTCTAGGTGCAGACTTCAAATATCTAAGTATCCGAAGAACTGCATTCATATGGTCTTCACTCGAAGAAAGCATAAATTGACTAACGACACTCACCGCATAAGCAATGTCTGGCCGAGTATGAGACAAGTAGATCAATCTTCCAACTAACCTTTGGTATCTTTCTTTGTTAGTTGGAACTTTATCCGGGTATTCTCCAAGATGATGATTTCACTCGGAAAATGTATAAATTGACTAACGACACTCACCGCATAAGCAATGTCTGGCCGAGTATGAGACAAGTAGATCAATCTTCCCACTAACCTTTGGTATCTTTCTTTGTTAGAACTTTATCTGGGTATTCTCCAAGATGATGATTCTGAACAATAGGAGTGTCTACAGGTTTGCAATCTAGCATTCGTGTGTCTGTCAACAAGTCCAAGACATATTTCCTTTGAGATAGAAAAATTTCTTGTTGTGATCGGGCCACCTCAATCCCCAAGAAATATTTGAGTCCACCTAGATTCTTCATCTCAAATTCAGTAGCCAAATAGTCTTGTAGTTGAGATATTTCGTGTTTTTCATTCTAGTAATAATCATGTCGTCAACATAGATTATTAAAGTTGTTACCTTCCCTTTTTGATGTTTTAAGAACAGAGTATGATATAAGTTACTTTGTCTGAAACCATTGTTCTTCAATGCCATGGTGAACCGCCCAAACCATGCATTGTTAGAAATATGCCCTTAAAGCCAACTAATTATGTGATAGTTAGAGTTAAGGACATCTTTGATAAATTTTAAAAAAAAACATATTATGTTATCAATGGGAAAGAAATGTTGTTTTATACATTAAATCATCCTATATTATCTTTCAATATGTAGAACAATCATAGTCCAAGGAATACACAAGTGGATATATATGAGAGCTATGTAATGAGATTGCATATATGGAGACTTCTCATCATCCCTAAATCCTGAATATGTTCCTAGTCATAGGAATATTGATTGGGCGTCAATATTCCGCAAAGACCAGTACACACAGTATTGTCTTTATATGTAGGGAATGAGAAGGTCTTAAGTCATTAAGTGTGGAGACACATCGATATGTGTGTAGGTGCTTGTAGAAGAACAAGTACACTGAACGCGATCCAACACATGAGTTACAGCATGGAAGTCTTTACTCACATGTCAAGCTGGAACTCATAAATTGCAATGGTGCAAACTAATCTTTAGATCTGAGGCATCATAGATGTTTTGTGCCTATGTTGTTCATATTTGAGGGCACTATACGGTTATTCTGAATTAGACATAACTTAAAAGTGCTCATCAGGATTCTCAATAGAGTCATGGAGGAAATGAATGTACAACAAGGAATCTCTACTCTCAATAAAAGATAGAGAATACTCCAAGATATGATTGGTCAAATCTCTGTGCAAAGTAGTGGATAAGACTTGAAAGAAGAAGTCTTCAAATCTTACCAAGATAATCATATAAAAGGAATGATTCACATTAGGATATTGACAATCGGATTCCATGATCTAATAATGTGAATAAGGAGTAGTGACATAAGAGAAGGATTCAATTGCATGGTTATTCCAATTTGAATAGGTTCTTTCACAGTGTCTCATTTAGCTCGGATAACCTTGACTTGCTGCTAGGCGACAACCATGGTTTGTGGATGTCCTAAAATGTTTCAATTAACCTTTATTAATAGGAAGAATTTAATTGTGGAATTTAATTCATATATCATATTTGAGGAGTTGAGTCAACCCACTACCTTGTTAAAGGGAACCAACGGATCTGCATAGCCAAAGAATATGATTAGAGGTATAAATGAGGAGACACAAGTCAATGATTGATAATTGTCAAAGTCAACATGTTGACCGGAGTAATTGACCAAAGTCAAATAGTTCGACCGGGCCAATTAAATAAGACTATAATTATAATTTTAAATATTGGATTGGGCTTTTAAATATGATTTAAAAGGAAAATGACAAAATAGCTCAAAAGGCTATTGGGCCCAAGGGATAAGTGGCATAAGAAGACATGACCCATGAACCAAATAGAGCCCCAAATACCCACCCAATTGCCTTTTGTGTTGTCCTATATAAGCTAAGTGTTGGAGAAAACCTAACTAGGGTTTTTGGTTTCCTACTTTGATCCTCTTTGTATCTCATCTTCCATAAACCAAAAATTGGTCCAATCAAGAAGTAGAAAATCAAGAGAAACAAAATGTATTTCCAACAAAGGTGTTCATTCTTGAAAAATCAAGAAAAGGCCATCAAAGGTAAAAATCTATTCCCTTTTTCCTTTTTCTATTTGTGTTCAAAGAGACTAGGCTAAGATACTTGGTTTAAAATGAAAAAGATTTAGCTCATCTAGTATAAACAAAATGAATCCGCCATTTAGAATGTTTTTGTTGTATAGGTAATGGCTAAAGTTCATTTTCTATGCATCAGATGCATGTTTCTTTCATGCACGTGGTGACTGTTTCAGTCCATACAACGGCTTTCGTAATTTGTATACTGTTCCAGTCTAAGTAGCATTATATCCAAGATGAATGTTCATATACATCTCCCCCCATGAGTTCTCCATGTAGGAAAGCATTCTTTACATCAAACTGGTGTAGTGGTCGGTCCAAATTAGCTGCGAGGAACAGTAAGACTTTGACTATGTTCAATTTTGCAACTGGTGCAAAGATTTCTTCATAATCTACACCATAAGTCTGTGTGTATCCTTTCACCACAAGTCTTGCCTTTTATCACTCGATAAATCCATCATCGTTGTGTTTTATGGTAAACACCCATCTACATCCGACAATCTTTTTTTCTTGTGGTAAAGTTTCCAGTGTCCAAGTCTGATTCTTCTCAAGAGCTTTCATCTTTTGCTTTATAGCTTGAACCCACATAGGATCATGCTTCAGCAACCTTAGTTGGGATATGAATAGCAGACAACTGATGCCTAAAGGCCTTGAGTGGTTCAGACAACTTCTTAGTGGATACATGATTCGCAATTGGATACTTTAATGTCTTGCCAATATCAGGTGAATAATGGTTTGGTGGCTTTCCACAATTCTGCCTGAAAGATAATTGGTATCCAGTAGATTTATCCTCTAAATTCACAAGTGTAGTAGGAGTAGTTATCTCAATGATATTCTCAGGAGACTGGTTCATTGGTATTGTAGAGTTAGAGGGGGTCTCCATCTCGTTGTTTTGTATGTCTGTAGGTGTGGGACTCGAATTAGAAACATATTTGCAGGGGTCAAATGGGTTAGGCGATTGATCCTTTTTTGGCAGAGAGCAATCTCGTGCTCTAGACTCGGGATGATCGATCGTCGGGTTTGGACAATTGATCGTTTCTATACATAGGCGAATTTCTTCGTTTTCCAAGTTGCTCCAATTCTGTTCTTCACTTCGTATCTCTCCCTGAAGTGCAGAATTGGATGATAGGTCATGGAAGAACACCTCAGATTCCAGAAAGGTCACATCCAAAGTGACATAGGTACGTCGGGTAGGAGGGTGATAACAACGGTAATGTCACGCCCCAACCCTCGGATTTACAAAACCTTAGGTTAAGACGTGATTCACACCTTAATTACAGCTAACTACGTGGAGTGTAAAATAATTATAATTATAATTTAATACTTACCAAAATAAAATATTAACATTTTTAAGAATAAGGATTCTCACATGTAACCTTTCTAATGAGTGGCATAACCTACAAAAACACAACGAAGCACACATGGGTCAAATTTGCTTCATTGATTTTTGTGGAGATGAACGAAGGCTACATATCCAAAGATTCGGAGTGTGAGTACCAAAACAGTGAGCAAGGGCCCGTGTTGCACAAGCACTTGTAAGGGAGTTTTAAAGGTCAATACGCTAGAAGGTATGCGGTTGATAAGGTGAATTGCGATGAAAATAGCAGCATCCCAGTGATGGCGAGGAACATGAGCGCCAATCAAAAGTGCTCGGGCAGTTTTAAGAAGATGTCGATTCTTTTGTTCAGCAACATCATTTTGTTATGGTATCTGAGGACAAGTCGTCTCGTGGATAATTCCATGTTGTTGGAAGTAAGTCTGAAAGTCATGAATGACAAATTCTCCACCATTATCTGAACGCATTGAACTGTGTTTTCATTTGTTTGTGGAAGAACTGAAAACGGGAAAACACTTCATTTGTATTCTTTAGCAAATAAAGATATGTCATCCGTGTACAATCATCTACGAATATGACAAACCACCAAATGCTAGAAGGAGCAGTGATAGGTGAAGGTCCCCAGACATCATAGTGAATTAACATAAACAGAGTAGTACACTGTTTGTACTCAATGGATATGGCACATGATGACTCTTGGCCAAAATACAAGTATCACATATGAAGTCGGAGTCCTTGAAACCTGAGAATAAATTTGGTATAAGATGCTTCATATAACTAAAGACGGATGTCCCAATCGATAGTGCCACAACCAAATTTGCTTTTGTTTGCTATTATAGGGATGCGTCACATAGTTAGCCATGTCGGAACTAAAGTCATCTACATAATATAGCTCCACTCTCTTAGTACCACGATTAAGAATCTCCTTAGTGTGAATATCCTGAAACAAACAAAAACTCTGGTAAATAAGTACACAACAATTCAAAAGTTTAGTAAGCTGACTAACAAACATCAGTATGTGGGATAAAGATAGAACAACTAAAGTATTAGATAGTACAATTCAAAAGTTCAGTAAGCTGACTAACATGCATCAATTTATGGGATAAAGATAGAACAACTAAAGTATTAGATAGTGAGAGAGAGGATGAGAGTGCAACAGTGTCAGCCCCTGTCATAAGATAAGTAACTTCATTGACGTTAGCAATACAAGTTCGTCGGGGATGGGTAGTATTCATAAAATAATAAGAATCAAATGTCATATGATCAGTTGCACTGAAATCAATTATCCAGTTCGTGGAATCACTTTTATCTGAAGTATGGAATCCATAACCAGTATCATTACTAGTTGTATCGCGTTGTATTCAATCTTTGAGAGTAGCCTGCCATTCGGGGTAGCCATGCAATTTTAAATAGGTCTCACGAGTGTGTCTCGAATAACCACAATATGTGCAATCTCATCCATGTGTTGGGGTTGTTAGTCGGGAAGTAATAATCTATGCATCGGAAAATGCATAGGATACAAGTTTAGTAGGAATCCGGATCGGGATCTGAGCCCGAGTCAAGGTCAAAGTCGGAGTCAAATTCAGGATCTAGGTCTTAATCAGAGACAGATTAAGGGTCAGGGTTGGGGTCGGGGTATTCATCGGTGTTGGGTCGGGGTCGTTGTTGTCGTAGTTATGGTCGAGGTCAGAGTCGTCAAAATAGGATCCTGATTCAGGATTGGGTTCGAGGTCATCAAAATAGGATCCTAATTCATAATAGGGTTCGAGGTCGAAGTCTACATATGTAGGAGCTGAGCCACCTGGGCACTCAACTTAGCTATGGTTGGTTGAGAAGGAGAGAATGAGTCGGTGGTGCTTCCTGCATGAGGGTTGAAAAAATCATCAACCCCATGGTGGCGGCGGGGGTTTGAAACTAGAGTCGGCAATTCAGAGACTGCCGCTCTTATATATATGAAACCTAATATCCAAATATTTGTTTGTGGGAATTTTCTGTATATTCCTCTCCTTGTAATAGGTCATATTTAAAATATAATGGAGCCTTAGTGGCCAAGTAAATAATAAATTCCTATTTTTATTTACAGTAGGAAATCAGGAATTAAAGTAAATCAAATATAATTATAATGGGAATACTTGGTGTGTAAAGAAAGAAAGTCAATGGTCCACAAGTCACGCCAACAATATCTTCCTCTATTTTTCTTCATGCATCCGTTGGAGCATTTTTGTGTGGGTTATAATTGTTTTAGCCAGCAAGAATTTTCAAATAATGAGGTTTATGAGGTTCACTTGAATCAAATACTAATGTAGCTTGCCTCGATAAGAATCATATCGTAGTCGCTTCATTCAAGGTACAGCTATACATGAGAATCAATTTATATATGGGCTAGCCCATTGTTGGAATTCAATTTGGTGCACGAGGCATAAATTTGGCGGATGCTTGTAGAAATTGTATCCAGGTAGGAAGCGAATAGCTTCTTAGGAGCTATAATTTTGTATGCAAGTTGCCTCGTAAAATACTCAAATACACATTTCTTTGGTGAAATTGACACATATAACAAGGCTTATTTGATGAATCCCACATTGGTTCAAAATCCTTTGGTGTTTAATAAGAAAGTTCATGTGTTGCTAATTAACTGAATTATGTTCTACAACATCTACAAGTCGATTATTGTATGCTCATGGAAAACAACAATTTGGTACATCAATCACAGATTTAGTTTATGGTGCAGTTCAGTGCACTAAGGACCTCTCTAGCGCTAATTGTAAGAAGTGGCTTGATACAACAATTCTATATAAAACCATTAATGATAGGTAGACATGTTTATTATGGGAGTTGTTATGCAGATTCGAACTTTATGCTTTTACATGGTTAGAGTCAACTACAACTATCCAATGAAAAATAAAATATAACTAGTATCAATAATACTCTTTAATTGTTTAAGTATTTAAATATCTGATGTACATTTATTGGGTGACCAAACAACCAAAGAAGTGTGCAATTAAACCAAGGTTATGCATGAGGCTCTTTATTCTTACTAATTTTCCATTCAAAATGGTTGTCTTCAAATAACCAACAATTCATTCACATCTAAACCTAGCTATATGGAGTCAATGAGGTCTAGCCTAGTGGAAAAGGGCCTTGACTTGCATATTAGAGGTCTTAGATTCGAACTCCCATGGCATCATAGTTGTGTGTGTGAGAGAAATCCTCATTCCCTGTTATTTAGACTATCGCTTGTACTCAAAAAATAAACCTAGCTTTATGGAGCATGACTTAACTACTTGTTTGTCATGCTCCGAAATCCCAAGAATACAACTCTTACTTATTAGAGCATTGTAACCCCCAAGTTTCTTAAAATAAGTTAACCCTTTTGTTAGCATAAAATAATTTGGATCGGAATTTAGCCGTTGACCAAACAAAAATAAAATTTGAGTTTAGCCGTGGAAAGATTTAAAACGAAACATGAAATTAAAATATTTATTTAAAATGACCTACAAGGTTACAAGTAATTATGGACGTAACCTAAAGTACATTTATAAAATCAATAAGTTTAAATCATAACCTCAACAGACTATACAACATGTTCTCATGTTTCACAAACTCCAAGACAAAACAAAAAATTAAAATGAATTAATGACATGAGCTCCCAAAAAATATAAAGTGGGTGACTAGCCAAATTTGTAATGCATTTTGCATTAGAGTATTCACAATTATGCTCTTTAATTTTTCATTAAAATTTAGCTAAAAACTTTCGAAAGCTCTTTTAGGAGCTCTATTAAATTTGAAATCCAATCATACTATACTCCCTAGCTTAGGGAGTCATAAATACTACAATTGTTTATTAATTCAATATAAATGGTTCATCTTACTTTTTTTGTCACTGGGTTTTACATGAAAATTCAATTTGGTCATTGAGAAAAAAATTTAACCAAATTGGTCACCGGGTTTTCCTAAGTTCACAATTTATAGACATTCTGTTATCTTCACTTAAGTGCAGTTTTTATTTTCATTTTTTCAGGAAGCACCTTCAGTCTTCTTCCTCTAACTGAACGAGTTATAGTATTTTGTGCTATTAGAGTTTAACATACTGGGGGAAATCTTGAGTTGAAATCAAAATTCTGAGGTATGAGGAAAATAAAAAAGCAGAACCAAATTAAAATGAAACCAACAACTTACCAATATATTTTAGTGCTTTATCACCTTGATTACATCTCCTTGCCATCCAAAGTCACAATACAGTTCTCACTCAATTAATTCAAGCTTCAATATAGCATCCAATCTATGACCTTATACCTCACAATTCCTATTTCAACCCAAGATTTCTCCTAATTTGTTAAACTCTAATAGCACAAATATACCCTAACTCGTTGAGTTAGAGGAAGAAGATTGAACGTACTTTGTAAATAAAATTAAAAAATAAAAAAAAACTACACTTAATGGAAGATGATGAAATGTCTATAAATTGTAAAATTTGAGAAACATAATGACTAAATTGACTAATTTTTTTTCTCAGTGACCAAATTGAATTTTCGTGCAAAACCTAATGACCAAAAAGGTATTAAACCCTTAATTAAAAGTTTAAAAAATTCATAAAAGAAGCATCATTAAATTATAGAGAGTCATCACTAGGAGTTCTCAATCTCTCCTCAGATTTAGGAGCTCCTAGAGGTCTCTCTATTTTAGGAGGTGGATAGGGAGCATGGTTTGAATTGTATTTTTTCAATTCCTCCCTAAAATTTATCTAAATAGGTGGTTTAGAGAGCCCATTGTGAATACTCTTATAGAATCAAAAGATAACATATTCATCGAATGACCTCAAGGTCGCAAATCAAAGTCCTTCGTACCATAGTACTTGCAAGATTTACACATAGAGGTAGGCATCACCAGGAGCAGATGCACGTTGGGACAAGAAGGGTTGCACGACCCCTTGGGATGCCGGAAATCTGGCTGTGGACTCCATGAGCGACCCCTTGGACAATAGCAGAGCAACCCTTTGTGTGCACACAAGGTGCTCGATGAAAGTCCCTTGTGGGCTTGCCTTGCGCTTTGCTGCACATTGCCCAGCTATTACACGCACACAAGGTCCAAATTTTTTTTAAAAAAAGTTAGGCCAAAGGACATCGTTTGGTCCAGGGCTCATTCAATTTTTTTTAATTCACTTGGCCTCATAACTACGTCGTTTTGGATCCAGTCTTTTAAAAGAAAAACAAAACAAAAGATCATCCTTCTCCCCTCCCATTTATCCAACTCCACAGCACATCGCCAAACCCTTTCATTCCCAAATTAATAACTCACAACCCTAGGTGCCCCAACCTCCACCACTACCTCTTTGCTAGCGCCGACCACCACCGCCTTGTGCCGTTACCGTTTTTCTGACACTGCTTGACCCGAGAATCCTGAATCCGTCATTGAGTATCACATACGTTCATATGCCCTTCTCCCTACTACTATATTGAGATTGCAGAGTTTATCTTAAAACTAATAATAATGCATAACGGAAACTTTGCATTTAGTTTTCAATAAGACAAGGATGCTAAATCAAGTTTTTTGGGCCCAGTGTCATTACTTGATAATCGATCTATAAAGCCAACTACCCTTACAATAGATTAAATTATTCAACATAACTTGTAGGGTTAAGGTATCGAATTCCAAGTCCCACTGCATGTGACCCTTCACCCTCAAGTTATCATAATAATGATCTTTGGATATCACATCGTACAAAGAAGATATCCATTACCAACAAAACTAGATATAGGGATGCCAAATAAAAACAATGTAGATTTTTCCATTCACTCATACATATCTATTTACTTCATACACACATAAGAATATAAGATTTGGCACGGAGGTCCACCAACAGTTCATCACACCTATACCCATCGTCGACACTGTCCTTAGTGACCGTTGTCTTCTCCGATCATTGACTCACCGGTGTTGAGTTCTTGTCACCCTTGACGAATGATGTAGCGTAACCAATAATCCAGATTTAATTTGGATTTAGACCATTGCTTATTTGGTTTCTTGTTTGTTGTTGATTTCCAGTCTTATTATTTCGGATTAGTTTACTATTCCTAATATGAGGGAATTATTTTTCTGTTTTTCTATTGCTAGTAGGATTAGCATTAGTTTCCTATTTCTCACAAGGTTAGGTGATCAACCCAAGAGAGGCAAAACAACTCCCAACGCTTGTATAAGGAAGGCCAAATTTGACAAAAATTAACTCAATGCACTAAACGAATCAATTAGATGCCCATTGTGTTAACCCAACCCCTGAGGACCGCCATAAGGAGGGACTCGCAACACTATTTGAGGGGGACTGGATATTAATCCTGTTCCAGCTTTTTTTTTGGTCAACATCTAATGATCAAAGGTGAGACTGGACTAAAGTAGTCCAATCCCATGCTTTATCTTGCCCAACAAACAAGAAAAGAATTGCTTTTGGTGCACTTTTCATCAATCAGCTTTTTGCACTCCAACCAATTTGGTGACTAAAATTGAATATTGCAATGGAATTACGTTGCATTTAATTACATTACATTTGATTTTTAATATAATTGAATTAAATTAAATTTCTAGGTTAAAAATAAAATTTCTGCAATTAAATAAATAAAAATATGCAGTAAAATAGATATAAAAAGTCATCATTTAATAAAATCCAAATCTGCAAAATTATAAATCACAAAAATACACTATAATATAATCATAACCTATTTGTGATATCCATGAATTTACTGAATTTACATATGCAACTAAAACATCAAAAAGTAGCAAGAGCAAAGTCCGTAGTTGAACTAATTCAATCATTTGACAAAATTATGCAACTCATTAGTCATGTGTCACTAATGTAATGAGTTGCCTTACAAATTCCATTAGAGCACTTTCAATAAAGAAATATTTTCTACAACGTATTCCCTCCACTCTTCTTCATCGATTCTACCATTTCTATCTGCTTCCGTGAATGTCCATAACATACACAAGAATGTCGTCACCAAGAAGCAAATACAAATAATCAAATCCAAAACAGAGAAATTCATATTTAAACAAGAAGTCAAAAATAAAGAAAGAAGAGAAAATAATTACTTGTATAACAATAAGAGGATCAAAATTGGAGGAGCTGTTGCAATTGTTTGAGAGAAAAAGTGATTGTGTGATGAGGTCCAAGCTCAGGCAAGGCATCTTGGTCCGTGGGGTCACAGTACCCCTAGTTAAATTCTCTTTTTCATTTAGGGATTTACTACCCACCTTTTGTAGTTGGGGGGACCCTACTTACCCGAGGGTAGGGGCATGCTTTGTGCGACTCACCACCACCAAAGTGAACAGTCCAAGACTATCATGCATCACCTGAGAAGATTTCAATCAAGCAACCAATTACGAGAATGCCCTGCTTAGTTACAAACTCACGCCACTAGGCTTGGCAATATTGGGTGTTATGTAATGCCCTGCTTAGGTGTAAAATACATATACAGGTGTTTTTTGGTTTTTTTTTGTGGCTGTTTTACTTGTCATCTGATGTATTTGTTGTCCCTCGCTGAAACCAGCTCGGTTACTACAAGCACTTGGAACATTCACAAAAGTTCCCTGATTTGGTTTCACTCCATTATCCACCAGCATTTTTGAAAAAATCATCAATCCTTTTTCATTTTGCCCATCTTGTACATACCCCGGATCAACGTAGTCCATGAGAAGACATTCTTTTGCGGCATTTGAATAAAAAACTCCTTCGCCCGCTTTAAATCCCCATTCTGAATGAAACCAGTAATCATTGTATTCCATGATGGCATGTCCCTTGCCGGCATGATTCAGACATTACAAATGGAGTACGAGTTTGGTTTCATCTGAGAACCATAATGCATCTTCCATATTCGCTGTTGCAAAACCTTCAAATAGGAAACTCGGAGCTGTAGAAGGTAATTGGTTTTGGTCAATGAGAGCCGCAATGCACCATGAATGGCTTTTCTTTTCTACGTGCCGATACCTTAGTGAATCTAATTTAACCCCATATTCACTTCTTAGCTCTCCTCTATTTACTTTAATATTGCAAAAATCTTGCAGTAAATCATCCCAGTTCATATTGAACTTCTCTTCAATCAACTGAGCCTCAGTTCTGGCTTCTGACGCCTTTAAATTCCTATAAAGATTCTTATGAAGTTTTACAAACTCACTCCTGTACAACTACTTGTCAGTGCACATACCATGTTCCTTAATAAAGTCAAGGACCTCCATCACTCTCTCAAAGTAGCCACCATGAAGACAGTTCAGTAGCAATTACTCATGTAGATCTCTGCTTACCACCAAATTTTCACTCTCCATATTCCTCTTAATGTTCCCCCACAAGATCGCATATAACAGATAGGTAAGTGTTTGCTTAGTGGGTTGAATTTTCATCTCTTGCATTCTTCTGTACGTCTTCAATGCATCATCCATCATTTTGGCCTTGCGGAAAAGGTTGATGGAAGAATTGAACTGGTAAACAACAGAAGGGATTTCCTTCTTCTCATCCACTGAAAAATTCATAAAGTCTGAATGAGAGATTTGACTGAAATACATTAATCTGTAACCATTATGATCACTTTTCAATATTCACTTGTTCATAGAAGGCAATCTCTTTGAGACACAGAGGGTATGCTTTATGTTTCAATTATGCAGTAATTAATCAAAATCAGCTAGTTTATCAATCAATATGTTCTCAGAAGTTAAATGTTTCTGGGAACAGGCAAATTATCGTACGACTTAACAAAATTGAGTAAATTTCACATCCCTAATACCGCAAGAAAGAAGCATGGGCGACCAAAAGTTTCGCAAAGCTATACGATTCTCAGTGAACAAAAGTTAGAAGTAATCCTTGACAAGCCAAAAGAAAAACCATTAGACCTCTAATTATGGCCTAAAATTTTGAGAGAAGAATTATTCATGGAAAGGGTAAATGATTGGCAATAATTCCTAAAAAAAAATGTCAAGATAAGAGCACAGCACAGGAAACAATTACAACATTTCCATAGGTCACGCTAAGAACACAATACATACCTTGTCACAATGGAACAATCAAGTTATCACTTGCAGTTGAAAAGGGACTATCCACCGCCAGGCTAGGAAAATATCGATAAACAGCAACCAACTCTAGGAAGCTGAAAAAGGAGGATGTTTTGTCAGAGTGAAGGGCCAAAATCATCATAAACAGACACATCCGGAGAAAAATATATGAAGAAAAATATCAAAACAAATAGCTGATGATCCTTTGTAGCATGCAAGATCACCCAAGTAGATCAAACATCGGTGGCACCATCTTCATTTCAGTATCCTTGTCCATAACAATTCTATTTTCAGAATCCTCAGAGAAATACCCCAGAGGCCAGAGGGAACCCATACTTTGCTCTCATCTTCACTATCAAATCATGATAAAATCCAGCTGCCTCTGAAAGGAATGTTTGAAACTGCAATCTTATTTTTGTAATCCGATCAGGCTGAGCAGGGCCCTTCACACCCTTGAGATAAGTTTGAACCTGCATCGATAAAAATATGAAACAATCAAGGAGAGGATGAAGAACATAAAAAATAAAAAATAAAAAATAAAAATAAAAATGAAGAAACAAAGTTGTCCCACATCGATAAAAATCGCTCTAAGTAAACTCCTTATAAGTGTGCGTCTACCACACTAGTTTGTCCCATCGGAAAAGGAAAAAGATAGTTTTCCCTGTCCCTTCCGAACATGAAAAAGTATCACTTCGAAAAGAAAAGAAAAAAAAGGATGTCGTGAATCCATCTCGATAATTGGGAGGGGAAATTTGACAGAAATGAACAAATTGCATGAGGGGGGTCCCTTAAGGTCGTCAAATTGACTCCAGATTTCATGCCTCACGGATATCAAACCGAATCAAATGTAGGAAAGGAAAAGAGATGGATAAAAAAGGGATCAACGAGATGGATAAAAACCCCACCGGATCAAATGTGGAAAAGAAAAGAGATAAAATAGATATAAAAAGTTATCTTCTAATAAAATACAAATCGACAAAATTATAAATGACAAAAATACACTATAATATAAACATAACCTATTCATGATATCTAAGAGTTTACTGACTTTACATCTGCAACTAAAACAAAAATCATGATGGATATCCATTCAGAAAATTGAACACCCTTACATTCGATTTTTATGCAGAAAATAGTGATAAACCATAGGCTAATGAATGATAAATACTCTGTTCAATCATAAAAATAGTAAGCTGTTATATTTATGAGTACCTTAATTTTGTGATAAATTTGTGCATAGAAACTTGCTACTACAAATAAACAAACCATCATGATGATTATCATGTTACAATTCTACTTATGAGGCTTTGACCAAGCTGATTTAGTAAACTTGACTAGCCAATTATCACAATCTGAACTCAACTCTAAGTTGTAAGTTTGCAACTAGCAACCAGTACCTTGGATGGGGAACTCATCATCACATTAGGGGTGATAATCAAATCAAATCATATCTTATGAATTGTAGACTAAGATTAAGATCTCCTAGTTTCTAAACCTGTACCAAACTTAGGAGGTCAAGGCACAGAAGGAAGACGACGAGGACCACTTTGACTTTGAGTGTAAACTGTAAAGTGCAGAAACATTCACTTGGTTGATATTCTTACACTATCAACCTGAATTTAAAAATAAAATAAGTCCTTTCATCTTATCCATGACCTCCACTCATCTGCAAATATACATGGCTCAGAATCAAGGGGAAAAAGTGCAGATATTGATTTAAGTTGCAAGAACAAAATTTAAAAAATCTACAGTATGCTCGATAATAGAGAACACTGCAACAATAACATTTTTATCTTAATTTGTCAGAGAAACAGAAGACAAAAAAGAACCAATTATGAATGCCCCACCTCATTCAAAAAACAATTACCACTATAGATCCTGAGCACCTTGCATTCTGATTTCATGGAAGATGAAAACAAACAATCAAAAGCACGCCACCAAATCTTTATTACACTAAACTGACTTAATGCTGACATCAATATATTTGGAGCAGGAACATCTCAAAGACAGATAATTCACAGAAGAGAACCAATTCCTCCCAAAATAAAAGGCATGCCCAGCACAAGAATAGACTTAAAGGGATTGTCCTAAATAGTCTAGCATGTCTTGCAATTGATTTTTGAAAAAGTATTTAACTTCAATAATAGCAATGAGTTTGCCGCAATCATTGCAGTCATACTTTGAAGTTCTGAAGAAAAAGGCAAATTGCCAAAAAGGTATATGGGGTTCAAATGAGGTTGCTAATGTGCACGTAATTGATGGCTACCTAAATGTGGCTTATCATTACAATGGGTGAACAAAAAAACTGTTTTGTTTATTGTGACACACTAAATAGAAGAAATCCTGGCCAGTGACAATCTCGCATTGAACTGTAGCCAAGTACTTTGGATTTCTTATGTACAAAACTTTGCCTGCTTTCTGAAGAGATCATGTTTGCAGGAAATGTCAACAGAATTTCACAATTCTACACATCTCCAATAGTAAAACGATATTGTCAGTGAATTTTAGTGAACTTTCTCAAACTGATACAAGTCCCTTAGTAACCTATTAAAGACAACAGGAAACTCATAAAAAATAAATAAAAATAAAAATCAATAAGGACATATTTCCAGAATTGAGCTTGATTTTGAAGCTGGGCCTCACTACTGCCCCTTGTAGGCTACTTTTTTGTAGTTCAGTCTTACCTTTTGCTTAAGTTTTATTATGAATCATAATCAACAAAGAACAACTAATCTCAGAAGATACTAGCAATCAAGAATATCCTAGCTGTCTTCAATAAGTTTCTCACATTCGCCTCTCGCTTCTATGGAAAACCAGCAGTCCACACAAACTTATGCCTCAAGATCTTTAACTCAATGAGCATTCAGAAACAAAAAAGAAACCACTGGGACTTACCTCCCTTCACTAGATGTAACCAGTGCGCCCCAAATCATACAATTCAAAAGCATCTGCCATTCAAATGTATCCATTTTACAGTGTGCATTTGAGTTGAAAAGCAACACAGCAGAAGATTCTGTGCAAGACATGCTACTACTGCCAATTGAAAATCTAAAAATTCCAAACACATAGGAGATGGCCAAAGTAGGATTTACTATCATAGTATCATGACTATATTACTTACAAGTAATTTTGATTGTATCAGGGATTTTTGGGTGGAAAACACTCAATGTCTGCACAAACTCCGCAAACTCGATATATCCATTGTTGTTGTCATTGAAAAGATCAAAGAACAAAGAAAAAATTGAGGAATGAAATTCCTAATTAATGAAATTAAAGGAATTTTCAGTCTATGACTTGCTCTATGCAGAGCTAGATCCGATATGTGGTTTTGCACATAGAAATAAAAAAGATTAGGATGATAGCCACCAACCATGTAAACCACACACAATTATGCAGTTGTCATAAGGAATTCTTTGAATTTCTTGCTTGGCTTGTTTGAGGGGTTGTGTTTATAAGCAAGAAGCTGCTAGGAAATGAAAAATCTATGAGCTGCAATATGCAATGAAGCAACCAACAAATTCATGTGAGACTCCTCATAGAGTCAAGGCTGTCTCTATGTTAGCCCAACCCAGTTTTTGTAACATCCTACCTCCGCCTTTGGTATCAAATAACACCAGCCAAGATAAGGAAAAAGAGAAAGAACTTGACATATAATAGTTTCAGAGATTTTCTTGAATTGGTATGTAACTAGTGGGAGTTAAACAATCACATTCAGTGCTTTTCATTTTCTATATTTACAATTCAAGTTCTGGCATTACTTTCACACAAGCAAGTCAGATAAAGTGATCTAGGTATAATTTACTTGAAAGGAAAATTATGACTAATGATCCTCTCTCTAGAGCATCAAGAGAATTACTACACAGATAAATTCATACGCTTTTTCAAGGTTAAAGTATTATACTAATCTATGACTCAACAAATAAAATGCCAAAGGGTATGGACTATACCATGAAAGGAAGATTCATTCGCAGTCCAGAACATAAGAATATGGACTTATAACAATTTAGCATAAAAATAAAGAAAGGAAACAAATAAATAGCAACTGAGGTTTCTTGAAAAACCTAATTTGATGGGTCTGAGAGAGTGAGAGGAGATGCCAACGAAAGAGAGCGATGTGAGCAAACTCGTCATGGATAATTAATCACTTTTCTAATAGTGCCTTTTGAACTATCTGCTAATTGAGAATCTATGTTCATGAAAAATCATCATCTACTGTCAGATCATCATAAGGTATATAACCAATCTTCTTCATTCTTTCATGTAGATTGCAAAGTAAAGAATATATAAGTTCAGACTGATAATGAGACTTATCACCAACCACAAACACATGCACCTTATTTCCAACTTCTATCCAGCTGCAACCAGGCTGCTTCTTCAACCCTTTCTCTTTCATTTTCATCCTTATCTTTGCAGCTTCTCTCCATTTCCCAGAAGAAGCATATATGTTACACAACAACAAGTAAGTGCCTGCTTTCTCTGGCTCCTCCTCTAAAAGCTTCTCTGCAGCCAGCTTCCCAATGTCCATGTTGCCATGAACATTACATCCAGCAAGAAGAGCCCCCCAAACAGATGCAGATATCTTAGTCCCCAGCTTCTCAAGGACATTAAAAGCTTCTTTGAGCCTCCCAGCCCGACCACAGAGATCAACCAAGCATGTGTAATGATCTTCTCTCACTTGTATTGACCCATCTCTAAGAAGTTCACTAAAATACTTTAGCCCCTCCCCCACCAAACCAGCATGGCTGCATGCAGAAAGCAGCCCCACATAAGTAACATTGTCAGGTTTGCACCCTAATTTCCGCATTTCATTAAACAAGTTAATTGCCTCAATACCACATCCATGATGTGCATAGGCTGCGATCATACCATTCCAGGAGACCATATCCCTATGGGTTGTCAATCCATCTTCAAACATCTTCCTAGCAGCGACTAATTCACCACATTTTGAATACATGTTTATGAGTGCTGATACCAAGAATGCACATTCCTGATGGACTGTTTTACTTATCATCTGATGTATTTGTTGTCCCTCACTGAAACCAGCTAAGTTACTACAAGCACTTAGAACACTCACAAAAGTTCCCTGATTCGGTTTCACCCCATTATCCACCAGCATTTTTGAAAAAAACATCAATGCTTTTTCATTTTGCCCATCTTGTACATACCCTGTGATCATCGTAGTCCAAGAGATGACATTCTTTTGCGGCATCCGAATAAACAATTCCTGCGCCCGCTTTAAATCCCCATTCTGAATGAAACCAGTAATCATTGTATTCCATGATGGCATGTCCCTCCCCGGCATCCTCTCAAATAATTCAAGAGCCTCATCCAATCTCATATTCTGGGTGTAGCCTGTAATCATTGCATTCCACGAAACCACATTCCTTTTAGGCATCCTATCAAAAAATTCTCGAGCTTCATCAATCATGCCATTTCTTGAAAATCCCGCAACCATTGCTGTCCACGAAATAACATCCCTTTCCGGCATCAAATTAAAACGCCTCCTTGCCTCTTCAATTCTGCCACAGTGTGCCAAAGCCGTTAAAACTGTATTCCAAGATACCACATTCTTCTCTGGCATCCTCTCAAACAACTCCAAAGCCATATCAACCTGACAATTCCGTGCATACCCATCAATCATGGTGTTCCAAGAAACCACATTCTTCACCGGCATCTGATAAAACAACCTCTCTGCCTCCTTAATTTGTTTTAGCCTTATATACCCACTGACCAACGCAGTCCAAGTGATCACATCCTTCTTAGCATCCACTCTGTCAAACAGCCTCCTAGCCTCCTCCATCATCCCACATCTGATATAACCCGTGATCACTGTTGTCCATGTGACAACGTCTTTGTCAGGCATTTCATCGAACACTTGGCGTGCTTCTCTAACTTTCCCATCTTTGCTAAGCCTAGTAATCAGCCAGTTGGATTGTGCCACATTAAAACTGGCACTAAAATCTCTATCAGGCGATGTGATTCTAGGCGTCACCGTGTAGTTCATGGAGTGGTATAGGAACTTGAGACTGCACAGCATGGGAAGAAGAGCCTGAGAGAAACCCATGAGAGGTAATCCAGCTCTGTTGCTAAGATGCATCATGGTAATTGGTAAACGTAACAGAGCTAACATTTGGAGCTATGTTTGGCTCGCCAGAATCAAATGGAAAACTTGCCTCAATTCTCATGCATACTGGTAACCATCAACTCAAAGTTTCAGACAGTTTCTGTATCTAACACCTTTTAGTGGGCAAGGCAACATTTGTTTTTTTGTTTGACTAGATTTTAAATAATTTGATATAATAGTCCGGAATAAGTTGTGATGAATTTCATGTCCACTTCAAGACCGGCGACGTTAACGCCTTCAGCCGTCGCCTGCTTCTCCTCCTCTGACAAGTCTCCCACTCGTCTTCTGCTCTGCCAAGTTATTAGAATGAGTGATAGGGGAGAAGGGTACAGAGAGAGAATCGGCACAGAGAGAGAGAGAGGATGGGTGTTTGGCGTTGCGTTGGGTAAGGGAAGAGTTGTTCTTTTGAAAACCTTTGTTTTTTGGGCGGATGTTCATTTCTTAACTCTATGTTTCTGTTTTTTAAATTTTATTATTATTATTCATTACTATTAATTAGTCTTTCCGCACGCGCTTCTACGTTTGCTAAAAGCTTTTTTTCTAAATTTAAATTTATTTTAAAATTAAAAAAGATAATGGGTAGTTGTATTCTATTAAAATAGAATCCATTATTTAATTTTAATTTTTAAAAAATATGAAAAAGTGTTAATTTATTGTATTATCCTCATTTAATTAATATTTTTAATTTTTAATGTTTGCATTAATCAATGACATGTTCTAATATTTTGAATGTTTCACCATTCTCTGTCTTTTGCTTTATATATATATATATATATATATATATATATCATTAGTTTTTTAGGGAACTTTGATTTGAAATCAATAGGATATTTATTATTGTGGTAAATGACAATTCAAGATAAAGTCAAGGGAGATTTTATTGGAACCTCATTATTTGCTCTTTGCACCTCATACTAATTTTAGGGAACGTCTATAGCACTAGGTGCACTGATGTGCCCAGATTTTTTAAAAAATTAGTTACTAGTTATACAAATTGTCCAATTTTTACTTTTTGTTAATATTTAATGCAAATGCAATTGCATAAAGGTCATGCAATTACGACCTCCTTATTTGGCAATTGGCATATGACTTGACATGTTATTTTTTAATTGAATTTATTCTATTTGACTCACGATGACATGCTTATGAATTTCACAACGACATTTGTTTACTTTTATAAATCTAAAGTTACCGTTTTAGACTCTCTCTTTTTCTTCTGATTTTGATATGTCACCTCATTGTAGCTTTACTCAATTTCATTATGAGTTTCTGGTTTTATTTATATGAATTACTATGGCTAGTTGTGGTTAAGTTTTAATTTTTGTTTCTTTTGTTTCATAAAATTGGTGAATGTGAATCAACATTTATTTGAGAGCTTCAAAGTCTTTATCCATCAAATTTTTTCACCTCGAGTTTTGTCTATGTGATTGGTTGAAATCAATTTCTAAATAAGAACTATATTAATTGTTGAACTCCATGTTACATGCTTGTATTTTCATAGACATCCAAGAAGTATTATAAATTTATATTCTTTTCCTAACATGCCCATGGATTTTATAGTACATTGTTAAAAGTCAAGAAAAACAAGTATAAAAGTAGAAAGTTTACAAGTTTTCTCATAGATTACAAGATTTTCAGTTGTGTTTACAAGGATAATGACACAATTTTACTCCAATGTTCATTCTTACCTTGGTACTATGTGTTATTTTCTTTGTAAATTAGGGAATTACAATGTTATAAATTAGGGTGGACCATAATGTTGTTACAATTATTTTAATTATTTTACAACGCTTGAAGATTTTTTTCATGATTCATGAGTTAGGGGTTGCTTTATATAACTTGTAACCAAAAACAATAAAACTTGGGTAGCTTTATATAAATCCAATTAGCCAAATTGAATTTTTTTTAATACTTGTAACCAAAAATAATTTTTGAACATCTAAACTATTCTTTTTATTTTGTTATTTCTTAAATTTGAATAAATTATTATAAAGAGCTAAAATACGACTAAGTAAACTTGTTCACGTGTTATAATATCAATTAATGATAAGATATTCAACTTTTAAGACATAAAATCAATAAATATCAACTTATATTATAATAAATATTATATGACCATACTTTGATGAAGCCACACTATAATTACTTCTCAAGATGAGATATTATTATATAAAAATATATATGTATTTGTGTTTATTCTAAAAATAACTTTAAACAAATGCCTTATAACAAAAAATATATATTACTTTTTGAAGATGACTCGTAGCATCTTCCAACAAAAATTTCCCTTATGATCCTTCTCTGGTTTTTAGTTCATATCCTCGTAATATAATTGGTTCACGTTCTGATCAATAAAAAAATGTTAAATAAGAATATCTAATAATATAATACTTAAATAATATATATTGCACTTTATAATCAATACATAATACATAAATATGATATTTACATATAATACATACAATTTCAACTAAAATACTAGAAATTTTATATGAGTATGTAACATAACAAAATACTAAATGAGATAATGAAGGGGAAGAAAGTGATTAAGTTACCATCTCATTCGCTTCTCATGTATGAAACTTTAGAATTCAAGCTAATTCTAAAATAATTTCAAACAAATGTCTTAAAACTAAAACTATATATTATTTCTTGAATATAACTCATAGCATATTCAAAATATGCTTTTACAAACTTATTTCTATGCCTAAACAAATAATTTAATACATTGTCATCCTCATATTCATGTTCCCACAAAAATTTCCCTTATGATCCTCCTCTGATTTTTGGTTCATATCCTTGTTATACAGGTTACCCCCTTCCCATCTATAAAAAAAAAATTTAAAAAAACTGTTAAATAAGAATATCCACTCATGAATATAGTATTTACATATAATATGTATAATTTCAACTAAAATACTAAATTCGATAATGAAGGAGAAGAAAGTTACCAATCCCCTAGGTTCCCATGTAAATCCCCATTTTATAAGGACATCAACATTACAAGGAATTGATAAGTGTGGACCTTAAGGATGTAAAATGGGCTCTTTATTCTAGTAAACACAAGGGTTTACAAAATTAAGGATCGGTATTATAATAGTTTGGATATGAGAGTACCATAATATTGTAAAAGGATTCTAAAACTTATAAGTTACAAGATTTGGTTAGTGATTTACAAGTTTTTGAACAATGATTACAAAATTAGGGTTCACCAAATCCATAAAATTGTAAATCCTTATTTTGCAAGAATATGGATCTACGTTACAAAGAATTGATAAGGTTGGATCTTTGTGATATAAAAAGTGGCCCTTATTCTAGTAACAACAAAAGTTTACAAGAGTTAGGAACGATGTTACAATGTTTTGAATATAATAATACCATAACATAGTAAACGGGATCCCTAAAAACTTGTAAGTTATAAGATTGTACTTAAAATGCAGTTGCATATTTGTATGCAATTGGATGCTCCCTGGTTTTCCATTACGTGCTCCCTGGTTCTCAATTACTCAAATCGCCAAGAATATTAATGATACTAACTTGAAGTAGTTACTTAAAATACAAGTACCTAAATGATTAAACATAAATATACTGCACATTTATGGTTTGGTGTGTGGTAATACATGAAAATTTTGAATTGGACAATGAAAATGACAAACAAACAATGTGTAATTGCCATTCCATGTTGCAAATTCATACTACCTGTTTGACAATTGCCAAACGACCTCTCCCATTTGATTAATCTCATTTTCCATGTATCTTCATAATTAAATAAGTAAAGATTTAAAAAAAAAACAATGGAATTCATTGCATCTAACCATTCTAATCATGCAAAATCAATAGAAAATATCATAAAATATATATATAAATATTCATATATCATGAATATTATCTCTAATCTTGCAAAACAAAGGCTTACAAAATTAAGCACTTAGGTTATAGTGTCTAGGACTTAAGCGTTCCATAATATTGTAAAGTTGATCTCTAATATTATAAAAACATGGGTTTACAACATCAATGACTCATATTACAGTGTTAGGCACATCAATGTTCCATAACATTGTAAAATTTATCCATAATATTGTAGATTACAATATTCGAATTCAAATTTATGAGCTTTGGCATCGTTATTACGATGCTAAGGTTCACTTCGATCGATAATATTGTAATAGCCTAATTTACAATAAAAAGGATCTCAATTACAATATTCATGAATTTTTGGGCCTTGAACAAGTAAAATTTCTCCTTATTCTTGTAAAAACAACGGTTCACAACATTACAGACCCATATTACAGCGTTTGGGACATGAACATTCCCAAACCTTGTAAAGTTTATTCATAATCTTGTAAAACCATGAGTTTCACAATTGATAATCAGGCTGTTGGTTTGCACAAATTGAAATGGTAATTACGTGTTGTCTGTTTGTTGATTGCCAACTTGACTGGTTTGAGTGAAAGCAAAATAGGCAATTGATGGGTATCAATTTGGCAATTGATGAGTATCGATTCGGCAATTGATGGTAAAGCATACCTTCTTTATTTTTTTTTCTTTTTTTTGTTTGTTTGTATCAAAGGCAATTGCCAAATAGGAGACAAATTTCTCATCATGATTTAAAAGTGAGACCTAATTTAACAATAAAATAATTCTTAACAATAAAAGTTAATGTGTGAAAATCTAATGCTTTGTAACTTTATTTATATCAATCCGTATGATCTAATACTTTCCATTTGTTATAACTTATATTTATTTTATCCTTAATTAATTGAATTGTTTCTTTTTGAAAATAAACTTATCCAAATATATAGTTTCTTTTTTATTTCATGATAAACATATAAAGCATGGATTTCTAGGAATAAAATGTATAAAATCGGTTACAATAGCATATGGACCACATTTGCAATAATGTACATAAAATGAAATCACAATGACACAAGTTACGAATTGCAAAGAAAAATGCAATTGCATTCTATTAAGCAATGTTTCTATGCATTCTAATAAGTTTTTTACACATGGATTTGTTAGAGCATCCACAATGGGGGGGTGTAAATTCGGGGGTGTAAAGCCACTTTTACATCCCCTTTACACCTCCGGGGGGTGTAAATATGTTTTTTGCTCCAATGAGGAGAGATGTAAATTTAAGATGTATAATTGTTTTGTTTGTCTTAATTCGGTTTTTGTTAAATTTGTATTTTGTGTTTACCTTATAAATTTTATTTTTTTTTGTATTAGGTTAATTTTATTTTTTCAAACAAATAGACTTAAAAATATTTAAATTCGGAGAAAAAATGATTTCATCCAAAAATAACCGTTGGATCAGATTCTCGTATCTTCATCTCAACCCTTCGATCAGATTCTCTTTTCTTCATCTCATCCCTTTGATTCTCCCATCAGATATCATTGATTTCCTATAAATATGTTCACTTCATCAAATCTATCTCTTCACTTTATCTAACCTATCTCTACCTTCACTTCAAGAGCATCCATCTTATCTCCTGTTCTTTCTTCTTACTCTTCTCCCCCCAACAATAAAATGAGCAACCAACACTTGTTTGACACTGATTCTGACGAGGAAAGTATGGAGGAGATGTTCGTAGAATGGGAGATATCACAGAAACATAATGCAGAGAAGGCAACACATGGTGGGTCGTCATCAAGAAGGAGGTATGTACCAAGAGAACGAGAAGCTGGCCATATGCGCCTTATGAAAGATTATTTTTGTGACACTCTTGTGTATAATGCAGATAAGTTCTGGAGGAGATTTCGCATGGGGCCTTCCTTGTTCAACCGAATCTTAGAACAAGTCATGAACTACGACACTTACTTCCAACAACAACGAGATGCTTGTGGAAATCTCGATTTGTCCACCCATCAAAAGTTAACAGTTGCCTTACGTATGATTGCATATGGAACACCTGCCGATCAAATCGACGAGAACCTAAGAATTGCAGAAACCACATCTATTGAGACTTTGAAGATATTCTGTCTTACAATCCATGCAATATATGGCAGAGAATACCTTTGATCACCGACACCGGCTGACCTTGCAAGGCTCCTGAGAAAGGGGCAAAAGCGCGGTTTTCCGGGCATGCTTGGGAGCTTGGACTGCATGCATTGGGAATGGAAGAATTGTCCAACTGCTCACCATGGAGCTTATGTGGGCCACCATGGTCGTCCAACTATTATTCTTGAGGCTGTAGCTTCGTTTGACACATGGATTTGGCATTCTTATTTTGGAATGCCCAGTTCACACAACGACCTTAATGTGCTTTACTCGTTACCCTTATTTGTGCAGGTACTTAAGGGGCGTGCACCAAATGTTCAATTTATTGTCAATGGTACTTAATACAACTAGGGATATTATCTTGCTGATGGGATATACCCCAAATGGTCAAATATTGTTCAAACAATTTCTCAACCCCAAGGTCGGAAGAAAAAACTTTTTTCAAGGAAACAATGACGTGGAACGAGCATTTGGTATCCTTCAAGCACAATTTGCCATCCTTAAGGGCCCTGCTCGCTTTTGGCATCAAGAAGATCTTGAGCGAATCATGAACGCGTGCATCATTTTGCATAATATGATCGTGGAGGATGAGCGTGATGAATATGCTTCCGATGATGATGATGATGATGCAACTTCTATGGGTCCTACACCTTCATATTATGACCTTGCAGATGTTCTTGAGATCGAAGTGCGACGAAATGCAGCACCACTTGGAGCATATTTAGGTAGGCGAAGAATTATGAGAGATGAAATTCGCCACCATGCTCTTCGAAATGATCTTATTAATCACTTGTGAGATAAGGAAGGGAGAATGAAGAATGTAGTATGTAGTATGTTATGTATGCATTTTATGCTTTCAATAACTAACAAGCAATGTCCTTGCAGTGTTAGAATATTATGTATCTTCATTTTAGTCATATGTATGCTTTTAAAATTTGCAATGGAAAAAAAATTTGTTAAATTACTATTACATGCTGTCTAAAAGAATAGAAAATAAATAAAAAGAATACAAAATAAACAAAAAGCCTAAAAATTAAAATCCAACTTTTAAATGCTGTTTTGGAAGCCCAAACGACCTCAGAAGCCAAAAATCCACCATATGTCACAACTAAGTAGTGAGTATGACTCGTGACGTCGTTCCTTTTTCGGGAAGGTATCATGGACTCCAATCAGAGCTCGAATGCCAAATCTATAAATTCCTATTACATCCTTTTTCAATTTTTCATTCTAACTTTTCTTCAATACATAAAGTTTAATTAACAACTACATTTTATTTCTTAAACATAAAACTACATAAACATAAAAGTCATTCTTGGTCAAACCAAGGAGGGGGGTCAGGACGATACACATTATCATCGAACTCTAAAACCCGAGAAGCTTGACATGCATTCATAATATTTTTTTTGCTAGTATTTCCAATACGCCTTTCTATCTGGAGTCATATCCTTTGTTTCTACCAACATGACTTTATACTCATCCATTGTTTCACGTCTTGCATTGAACAATGAGAGTGCAGAGTTGTATTTGACACTGATTTCACTATATGCAGTGCCTTTTTGTTTTTGGCAATTTTAGCAGCCTTCCTTCCTGTTGCCCTCTTTTTTGGCCTTGGGATTTCACTAGTGTATTGGGTCTCTGGAACACTCTCACCCTGCTCATCATAATCTAAGTTAATAGAATCTAAGTTAACATCAAGGTTTGGAGACATAGTGGCCGGTGGGGACATATCAACATCTAAGGTTGACCACTTGATTGCATTCTTCAAAACTGCAAAACAATGATCCAAACGAAAATGAGGGCCGTTCTCATGGTACAAATTTTTTGCTAGGTCCACCTATAGAATGATAAAATAAATTCAAAATTAGTAAATAAAAAATACAACATTTAGATATTAATAACAAAATAGATATACCTTATTTAGCTCACTGGATCCACTTTTATTTTTCCTATCCGCTTCAACTAGACACTCCTAATACTTTTGACATCGTGGCCGAATGAAATTCCATCGGCATTTGAGGCTGTTAGAAGTTCGATTGGAGAGGCACAATTCAAAGAATTGTTTATGAATCCCAGCCCAAAATGCATTAGCTTGTTGGGAGTTTCCAATAATTGGATCTTCACTAATTGCTAGGTATGCATGGCATAGAGCAACATCTTCCTCAGTAGAAAAGTTTGGCAATTTAGCTTTCTTTGAACCCTCTCCAATTCCACTCATTTTGATGATCACAAAAAAAAGGAAAGCACAACAATAATAAATAAACGTAGGAAGAATTGTGAGTAAAGAAGAATTGTGATTTTATGAACAAAGAGGTGGGTATATATAGAAAATCTGAAATTTTCTTGGCCTTGGATCAACTAGCCGTTGGACTTGCTGTTTCAGATGCATGAAAAATTGAAGCTGCTGCCTTGAACTGTTTGGCATGTTTTTGAAAATCAAAGGCATCTATTAAAGCTGCTACCGCCTTGAATTGTTTGGCATGCATTTGAAAAATCAAAGGCATCTATTAAAGCTGCTGCCTTGAACTATTTGGCATGCGTTTGAAAAATCAAAGGCATCTATTAAAGCTGCTGATTCTTCATGAAAAAAAAGCTACTGCTTGACATGAAATAAAAAAAAGTTGTTGAAACTGCTGCCTGACCTGATTCTTCATGAAATAAAAGCTGCTGAAGCTGCTGCCTGGCCAGATTCTTCATGAAATAAAAAAGCTACTGAAGCTCCCTGGGCTGCTTCTTCATAAAACTAGCCGTTGGGGGGGTTGAGGGAGAACAGAATAACCAAAAAACTGTTTCGCATGTGATTTCTTTTTCCAGCAAATAATGTAGCTGTGGGTCCCATGCTTTTTATGCTGACTTTTACTCATTTTTCTTCTCTTTCCTCGGGTGGGTCCCGCCTGCAAGGGATGTAAAATTAGATGTAAATATACATTTTATTTTACATCACCATGGTGGTGATGTAAATGTACATCCCTTTATACCCCCCAGTGTGGGTGATTTCGGTGACTCGGGGTGTATATTTAACATACACCCCCCATTGTGGATGCTTTTACATCTAGAAAAAAAAATTATTTAATCTTAATTATGAGTTAAAAATTTTATTTTTATACATATTTTTTAAAAACAGAGGCAACATGTAAGCAAGCGTTTGTTCTTCCTTCCATTCTTCCCCCCTTCCCTCTTACCTTCACTTCAAAAATCTGATTTTGGGATGAGTTGTTCATCTATTGGAGGTGTGTCACTTAGTTTAGGCTAAGGATATTAATTGTATAAGCTAAGATAAGATTAGGGATGAGAGAAATGAAATTTGGGTGAGGAAGAGGAGAATTGAAGGAAGGGAAGAAAAAATATCTCTAAGGTGAGTCAATTTCGAAAAAATTGGTTTTAACCTTGTGATTGTGTGATTTTAGTCTCTTAAAGAATAATTTGAGTCATATGAGTGTTAGGAAAAATTGAATTGGAAGAGGTTGAATTTCTAATTTCGGATTGGGTGGATAAAGCAATTTTTCAAGTGTGGGTGTTGTTGATTTTAGTTTCATTTTCTGTTTTTGATGAGTTCTATGATAGGTATGAAGTTTAGAAGAGTTTTTGGCAGCCTTAGGAACAATCTGGGGATGTTAGAATGGTTGGAAACAATTTTGAACCGAATCTGGAAAATGTCATTTTCTGGAAATTTGCAACTCGCGGCCTCACTTTGGCTCTCTTTTTCTCCAAATACTTTGAGTGTTTGAGGAAGTCAATCGTTGGGTTTTAACCTAGACATGGCAAGGAAAAAAATGGTTTCGTCGAATTTGGTTGAGTTTTGATAGGTCAAACACATGTGCAAAGTTTGGAAAAAAATATGTTTTCTACAGAAAACTAGCCTCGAGCCCAACTTTGGAGCTAGTTTTCTCCTTCGTTTTAGCTCCATTTTCAACGTGGTTTGTTGGGTTAGAAACTAGAGATATCAAGCTTTAAAACCATCACAAGTTTGCCCATTTTCTTTAACTTTTGGTTGGTCAAAATGTCTCACAAAATCTGGGATTCAATCAGGAAAACAGAGGAAGTTGTAGGATTTTTTTTTGAAGACGATGAACAGTAACCGGAAACAAGCCCACTCGCGGCTCCAGAGGGTGGCGGCGCATGGTGGTTGTTCCGGCAGCCTTCGAAGCCATATTTTTAGTCAATCTAACTTGATTTTTTGATCCGAGTCCAATTGTATAGGTTTCAGGTCGTTTTGAGGGGTTTAGCTTGGAGTGTGGATTGCACTCTCTATGTTAAGAGAAAAATGTTTTTATAAAATTTGATTTTTCTAATTTTTTTTATGTTATTTATTTTTTCAAATCTAGGAACAGGAGAGAACCCGGCAACCTCCGAAGGGTAATTTCGTCATTTTAGCTTCTTGGACACGAGGTAGGGTCTCTAACTTTTTCCCAATGATTAAACTATATCACTTTTTCATTGTTATCAACATGATCAGCCATTAACTTCTTGTGTCTCTGTGAACCAAGAGCTCTTTCAAAACGTACAATGAATTCCATCAATGTGTTTTTCTGGTTAATATATTGTTCGAAAAATAAATGACAACTTTAGGCCCATTGACTACTTGACATCCCAACCTAAAACACATGTTTTACATATGATGGAACTTAATTCTCCCACATAGCATGAATTGAGCTCAACCACGGATGGTTTTTTTCAGCCTATTGTTTGTGATAATTTCCTCCCATTTCACATCAAATTCTTCTTTCGTGTTCATAGCCCATATGCATTTGCACATTTCCGAAAAACATTCTCCAATGCCAGGTTTCTCTGTAAACTTATTCAAGATATGCCATATGCAATATCTATGGAATGTTGTCGGGAGAGTTACAACAATTGCCTTTGACATGACTGCATCTTGATCAGTGATGATAATTTTGGGTGGCTCACTTGGCATGACTTTCTTGAATTCCTCGAACAACCATACAAGTGAATCCGTGGTTTCACTAGTTAGGAATGCACAACCAAACAACACTGTCTGCTGATGGTTATTGACGCCTAACAAAGGCACAAAGACCATCCTTTATCAGTTCGTGTTGAACGTCGTATCAAATACCACAACATCTCTAAAAAAAACTTATGAGCTCGTCTTGACCTTGCATCTAACCATAAAACATTACCCATCATTCCTTCCGAATCTACCTCCATATTGACATAAAAGGATTCATTCTTTTCTTACTCAACCAAAAAATGCTCATTAAGCAGCTTTATATCATGCCCAATCACCTCTTCACGCACATCCCTTACATAATTATAAACATCTTTCTTAACAAACCCAACATTTTCCAATCCCCCTACTTGCACCTCAAGAAGGCTTACCTGTTTATATACAGGGATATTAACTTTGCTCATATATGTACTATAGACCTTTGTAGACTCTGTTAAGTTACGGTGAGATCTCAATATATGGACTTTATAAACTGTGGTCATGTCATGGTTGTGTACCTCATTGAATCCTACAACAATGTACTTACTTTTGTCTTTTACCTTCAAAATCGCAAGTTTAGCCTTGCAACCAATTCGAGTACAACCTCACCATTTTCTCTTACGACTAACAGTGCTTGTCAACAAATACCCCTGTTTACAACATACATATTCCTTCATTGTTACCTCTCCTATCAATGTGCACGTTCTCATTGTAGAACACCAAATGCCGAATCCAGATTTCGCAGCATAAATATTATAGAAATTTAACACATCGTCACAACAATTAAATTCAAGTTCCAATTTTGGTTTCAACTCAGAACTTACTTCCGGTGTCACTTGTCCTTCACACTCCATTTCACAATTCTTGCAATTTAACCATGAATTCACCACCATCATACCAACATTGACACATGCTTTCAAAGATATTTAAAATATATATTAACTAACATATGATATGAAAATGATTCTCGGGTGAAATATTAAAGACCTACATACAAACTAACGTAACTCATGCTTATGCCCAACACTAAAATTGACAAATATAATATATCACTTACCTCGTAAGTTATTTCCAACTTCAAAATTTCTGTGATAATGTTGCCCTTTTAGATTTGGACGTCAACCCGAAACACTTTTCATCTTCCTCAATCCTTGTTTCGACCGTGCTCAAGGATTTCAAAACAAAGAAAACAAAACCACAATGGTCGTAGTCACCAGTTTCGACGTTGCTTAAGGATTGACGAATGTTCAACCCAAAAAGACCGAACCACAAAGATGATAATATAAAATAAACGAACACTTTGTTTCTCCTGAATCAGAAACCTAGAAAAATGAGGGCTATACTTCTGTGTTCTTCCTCGAATAGAATAAGGAATAACATGGGTGCTCTCTCTTCAGTGTTATTACTCTTCCTCAATCAAAGCTGATAAAAAAATTTGTCTCCTAATTAAACAAACTGAACAGCTGGATTGAGGGGACGTCTGTTTTCGATTGGATGTTTTGGAGGGATGAGAAAAAAGAATGTCTCGTTCTAATACAACACTTACACTTACAATTGCTTTTCATGCAACAGTTAGATTAGATCCAAGGTGTTCTCATGTAATGTTCTCATATAGATATTCTCACTAGATAACCGCCATTGTTTGACATAGTATTTGTGACAATACTTAAATTAAAAAAAAATTACCATTCTGCATTACCACACAATTATATATAGTCCTCCTATTTTACATTGTTAAAGCCTCTTTAGGCCCAAAATTGTGTTTATCATAGTGTTAAGGTAGCACATAATTGCATATAGTCCTCCTATTTTACATTGTTAAAGCCTCTTTAGACCCAAAATTGTGTTTATCATAGTGTTAAGGTAGAGAATGATGAAACTATTCCTTTAATTCTCTAACAATTTCTTATTAATTGTTTTATTGTTAAACTTGGCTTCTTATATAGAAACGAAAGGTTTTTCTTTGTCTCTTGACTTTTGAAAATGACACTATTTTTTGTATAGTTTTTTTCCGATAATTGGAGTAGACATGTAGCAAAGGATAAACTATCAAAATCGTAGTTGAGTATACATGTTCCCAAATTATGCTAAAATTTGGTTAGTACAAATTTAAAAGTATATGTTTAAGTTTTGTCTCATCTCATGTTATTTATGTATAAATTGATAATGGAAAAGTGAAAGATCAATTAGAGAGGAACAAGTGGCACAAGTGGTTTTGATCATTGCATGTCTTCCTCCTATGTGCAAATTATGTAGGCTTAAATGTCAAAATAGTCAATGTATTTTAATCATTTGGCCAATTTAGTCCCCGTGCGGCTATACTATTTTTTATATAATAAAAACGCAGTAGTATATCCGAGCGACGATACCCTTTAATTATATTGTATTTAAACGTAGTATTTCTTATTCATTGTTTTATTGTTAATTAAAAAAAATGAAAAAAATACTCAAATACCAAAAACAAATAAATTTTGTTACAACAATTATTTTGTACAACTCTGAGTATCTCCGTATTTTCTTGATTTGCAGTACATCCCACATAATTTGCAATAAAGTCCCTCCTGAGTACTGACAATATCATCGTCTAATATCCAGATCTGCTTTCTTCCTCCAATTTCTCTAACATCTTCATCTTCTCATTTCAAAACTGCATACAATCATATTCAGTGAACAAAAACAAAGATGCTAAAAAGTTACCAAAAATCAAATCAAAGCAAATTTAATTGATATCAAAATATTGGGCATAACAAAATTCTCAAAAAAATAGACCTCAAGATTCACTCATAAACTCACCCATAAACAACAAATTTCAATATCCGTGCTCTATCTATAGAGTATAGACTATCATACTTTGATTATGAAAAAAAAATATATATCATACTTTGAATGTGTGTGGTACAATGCCACAAAATTCAATATTCGTGCCCAATACTAAGACATAATAGTGTAAGTAACAAGAAACATGTTTTTTCTGTTGTCATTGGACACAAAACTATTATGTCTTCTTACATATCACACAAATACTACATATTTGTGTAAAATGTAGCTTAAAAAGACATGAACTTGGTTTTTGTGATATTTGGGTCGTGCCTTTAGCCCATTTTTGTAGTAGTGCCCAATCCTAGCCATTCTCATCTCATTCCCAACCCAGGTCATGGACAAAAGAATCACTGAAATACTATCAATTCCTTTTGTTAATTCCAAACTTTTTAGAGAGCATCATGAGAACATTTATCTATCAAATAGAAACCTTCAGAGTTGTTACGTTCCTTAGAAGAATGCTTTTGACAAACATATGAGTCTCAAAGCCACTACCTCATTTAGATATGAAAGGGATGCAGCCATCCGAGCCCCATGGGACAACGCCTTCGAAGCATTTGAGGCCTTATTGGAGCATTTCAAAGCGAATGTAGATTTGTTTCTCCTGATGTCCAATGTGGTGATGCTCAAGCTACATGACTCAACTAATCTCATGTGTCTCTTCGAACAAACCGAGCAATGTTGCCGTATGATGGTCAAGATGCATCTCGAAGAGACGCCTGAGATTAGTTGCGTCCTCTAGCTTGAGCATCACCACATTGGACTCCGAGAGAAACAAATATACTTTCGTTTTGAAAGGCTCCAATGAGGCTCAAATGCTTCAAGGGCGTTGTCCCATGGGGCTCGGATGGCTGCGTCCCTTTCATATCTAAATAGAGTAGCGACTTTAAGCCTCACATGTTTGTCAAAAGCATTCTGCCATGGGTTTGTAATAACTATTATGATTTCATTTTCTATTTACTTAGAAACTTATATGTTTGGATGATGATTGTTATTGGTTTCGTTTAGAAACTTGGAATCTTGATTTAGTTTAAAAATATGTTTTTGCAAAAAATTATTGATGAGGTTGATGGATGATATAAATACCTGCGCGGACACGACTTGCATGGAATGGGTAATTTCAACTCTCTAATGTTTTCATGTTACTTCATTATTTTGTACAATATAATATTCTGGTTAATATGATATTCTTAAGCATCTGTTTTGGTTGATTTTTCAAAAGGACAATGCAAGGAATCAAGGAGAGAAGTTGTTCTTACAACTGGAAATGTACAATATATCTTAGCTTGGTGTAATTAATTATCCCTCTTAATATTTCACACGCTATAAAAGAAAAAAAGAAATTGCTAAAATGAGCGTCTAGAAAAATACAGTGGATGAAGGACTCAAGATTCATTCATAAACAACAAATTTCAATATCTATGCTCTATCTATAGAGTATAGACTATCATACTTGATTGTGAAAAAAAAAAGACTATCATACTTTGAATGTATGCGGTACAATGCCACAAAATTCAATATTTGTGCCCAATACTGAGCCATAATAGTGTAAGTAACAAGAAACGTGTTTTTTCTGTTGTCATTGGACACAAAACTATTGTGTCTTCTTTACATATCACACAAATACTACATATTTGTGTAAAATGTAGTTAAAAAATGCATGAACTTTGTTTTTGTGATCTTTGGGTCGTGCCTTTAGCCCACTTTTGTAGTAGTGCCAACTCCTAATCCAACTTATTCCTCCCGGTCCCAGCCATTCTCATCTCATTCCCAACCCAAGTCATGGACAAAAGAATCACCGAAATACTAGTAATTCTTTTTGTTAATCCCGAACTTTTTAGAGAGCATCATGGGAACATTTATCCGTCAAATAGAAACCTTCGAAGTTGTTACGTCCCTTAGAAGAATGCTTTTGACAAATATGTGAGCCTCAAAGCCATTGCCCCATTTAGATATGAAAGGGATGCAGCCATTCGAGCCCTATGGGACAACGCCCTATAAGCATTTGAGGCCTCATTGGAGCATTTCAAAGCGAATGTAGATTTGTTTCTCCCAGAGTTCAATGTGGTGATGCTCAAGCTACAGGACGCAACTAATCTCAGGTGTCTCTTCGGATAGACCGAGCAATGTTGCCATATGATGGTTACGATGCATCTCGAAGAGACACCCGAGATTAGTTCCGTCCTCTAGCTTGAGCATCACCACATTGGACTCCGAGAGAAACAAATCTACCTTCGTTTTGAAAGACTCTAATGAGGCCTCAAATACTTCAAGGGCATTGCCCCATAGGGCTCAGATGACTGCATCTTTTTCATATCTAAATAGGGTAGCGGCTTTGAGGCTCACATATTTATCAAAAGCATTTTGCCACGAATTTGTAATAACTATTATGATTTCATTTTCTATTTACTTAGAAACTTATATGTTTGGATGATGATTGTTATTGGTTTCGTATAGAAACTTGGAATCTTGATGATGTTATAAAATATGATGTTATTTTAAGAATTGTTAATGTGAAATGATTTTTGAAAATAGTCTAGATATTTTTGGTATTACTCTAACCTCAACAGAGATACAAAGGAATGACACATATATATCCTTGATAGATGATATTGAAGAAATTTTTATACAAAGCATTACCAAAGCTCGCTTTGTCGGAGGAAAATGAGATATCAATATCATTTGTATTGTATCTTCAAATAATTCAAGTTTGTCATCATCAGGAGGAGTAATTCATCAGGGGGAGGATTCAACAATTTTCTACATATAGGACACATGCGTTGTACTCTTTTCCCTTCGACTAGGTTTTTGTCCCAACGGGTTTTTCCTATCAAGGTTTAGCGAGACAACATAAGCGCGTCCAACACCATATCAATAATCCAGAAGAATGTTGCACTCTTTTTCCCTTTGCTTAGGTTTTATCCCACTGTGTTTTCCGAGCAAGGTTTTTAATGAGGCAACTATGTCAAGTGTATGGTGGACATCCAGGGGGGAGTGTTGTAAATGCATGAGTTGATGGATGACCACCATACATTTTAGCATTCTACCCTTTTTAATTCTATATAACTTATGTCTTAAATATTTGTAGTTAGTGCTTGTACTTTATTCATATGTTGTAAATGTAATACTTAATCATATTCATATTCATAGGGGTGTATTGAATTTAGATTTTAATAGATTGTTTTTAAGCTTAAAATTTAAGTGGTATTCAATTAGGATTTTTAAGTAATCAATAAAAGTACGTTGGTATTCAATTAGGATATTTAAGTAGTCAATAAAAGTACTGTGGTATTCAAAAACTTATCGATTTTAAAGTATTTCATTAAGTGGTGTATTGTGTGAGATTTTTAAGTGGGTATATAAATACCAAATCTCATAACAAATCTCACCCTTACATGCCTGATTCTTATAACCCACGCACTGCCCTCAACAAGAACTAATGAAAAGAACCACCAACACAACTAATGAAAAGAACCACCAACACACCAGAGCAGATAATAGAAAAAAAAATGACACTAGACTAGGCATAAAAAATAAATGTTTGTCTTTAGACTGGAAGCATGTCAAATCACCTAGCCCAGCAAACTAACTCCTTGGAGGGCACGAGAGTCATTGTTTTGAAGGACAAAAACCCACAAAATTGGGCATCTAGCTGCCCAGACCTCCAAGTTATGAATGAAAAACTTGTTGAACAGATTCTAAATATTACAGTGAGAGTTTGTGCGGAATTTCAAATGAAGTGGGTAGACGATGAGAAGATTATGGTGGTGGTGAGAAAGGAAAGGGTGAAGGAGGCCATAGAGAAATTGATGGATGGAGAAGAAAGCCAAGGGAGAAGAGAGAGTCAGAGAGTTAGCAGAGATGACAATATTGAAAGAAGAATAAGCCACTATATGTATAACACATTACATCTAGTGAAGGGCACGTCAATAATTGACCAAAGCCAAATAAGGAAAAAAAAACACAAATGATGGAAGAGGAAGAGAAGGAAAAAGGAAAGAAAATAATATAGAAAACGAGGAAGAAAGAGAGAAAAATGAAAAATATGAGAAAATATGAGGGTGAAGTATAAAGAAGGAGTACAGATCCGAAAGTATCAGTTGCCCAAAAAGCTACAAGCAAACCGAATATGAGATTATGCCACAAGCAGCAAAAAAATTCTAAGTGAAATTGCAATCTATTAAAATCATAAATAAAATCATGTAATTTCATTATATTAAAATCTTGTAATTACAAATCCTGCTGAAATCCATTACATTGTAATCTTGTAATTACAATATATTAAAATCTTAATTGAATACACCCCCCTAATCTCCTATCTTGTAAGCCTATAAGTATGTGGCTCTATCATAGATGAATGGATGAGATATACAAGTTGATTGACACAAATTTTGTTGTCTTTTTGTACTTTCCAATTTTCTCTATAATTTTCCCTTAATTAAAGAAAAAGCAGTAAACTGCCATTTTGCCCCATAAATTATCATCCAATTGAAAATTAACTCCCAAATTATTTGTTCCTGAGGTTACGAACTATATAGAAATAGCCCATCTCTCCCAACTCTTTAAATTTTCGAACTTCACCCAATTTTCTGTAAAAAATAGGTTTAAAAAACCGAACAAAATACAATTTAAAAAAAAACAAACAAAATTGGTTCCGTCCCCGGCATCTACCAGCTTTCCATTTCCAGTCTCCCTTCGTTGGCCCGCCAGATTTACATCGGCTCTCTCTCTCTCTCTCATCATCTCCGATCACTGGCCTTTCTCTCTCTGTCATCTCAGCCTAGTGGAACAGCAAGTACTTCTCACTCTCTCTCTGTGATTGCAAAAGCAGCTTAGCCATGGCGGTAAAGCACCTGATCACGAGATGCCCTCTCACTCCCGCATTTTCCTCTTTCTTTTTTTGTTGCCAATTTGAGAATTTATGGTGTTTTTTCTTCAGGACTCGTCAGGGACGACGCTGATGGATCTGATAACGGCGGACCCATCCACAGCGTCGGCCTCCGCCTCCACAACGACGTCGTCTTCGGCGTCGACTCAGCCGGCTCAGTCTTCTGGTTATGCAGCTTCGCCGCCAAAAAGCAGCTCCGGTGGTCTTCCGACGGCTTTGGGGAAGCCAGCTGGAGAGAAAAGGTCGAAGAGGGCTGCGCTGATGCAGATCCAAAACGATACCATCTCTGCCGCTAAAGCTGCGTTGCATCCCGTACGCACCAACATCAACATCCTGCCTCAGAAGCACAAGCAGAAGCAGAAGAAGGTCCAAACCCGAAACCTCTTCTTCGCTTATCCTTTTTCTTCATATGTTCTAGAATTGTCTCTCAGTTCTCATCTGTTTAGCATTTGGTATTAATTGCAATTGCAGCCTGTTTCATATGCACAACTTGCGAGGAGTATTCACGAATTAGCTGCTGCATCCGATCAGGTAACCGTTGCTCACCTATTTTAGTAGATTTTTCTTTCGTTTTTATTTATTCGAAAATTCAGGTTTTGTTTGTTTTCCATTTTTCTTCATTGTGAATAGAAAAGTTCCCAGAAGCAGTTAGTGAATCACGTCTTTCCCAAGCTTGCGGTGTACAATTCTGTTGACCCTTCGGTTGCACCATCCCTTCTCATGGTATATTTCTCTCATTCACATGTTTTTGCATATAATGTCCTTCATATGATATTAAATTGGGTTTGCAATTGTTCTTTTAATTATTCTATCTTGTCCAAGCTCCGATATATGCACGTATTTAGCTTATTGCTGGGATGCAGTTACACATAAGTCAATGTGATTATATGAAAATCTGTAAATTTTTCGTTTGCTTTGTTTTTTCCCTTCCCCTAGTTCCACATTATGCCATGCTCTTTTTTTAATGACAATGCGATGCCTCTAGTCACAAGTGCCAAAGTAGATATGAGATATGTCCTTCTATCCTCCTTCTGTTGTGCACTTGGCATAGACATAAAATATTTAGCACCAGTTCAATAGCCCCACATTGTTAGGCCAGTTCCATATGTCTGAAAGGACCTTAACTATCATGTAAGGTTTATGAGGTGGTCCTGGGAGGACGACATGTCCCCTATAGCTAAAGTTAGGCACATGGAACTTGATGGACTGGGTTGGAGTTTATTGAAGAATGGAAAATATGAATTCACAATTTATTACCATGAGTCCTGCATATCTCTTAACAACAATTTTTTTTCAAAAAACCAATATGCACAACCGGTGAACAATAAATCCACCAAAAAATCAATCTACATTGAATTTAATAACTGATAAATCAATTGTATGTTTTAAAGCAATGTTTTTTTTATAAGTGTTCATTCATGATGCAGCTCAATCAGCAGTGTGAGGATAGGAGTGTTCTGCGATATGTCTATTATTACTTGGCCAGAATTTTATCAGATACTGGTGCACAAGGTGTGAGCACTGGTGGTGGGATCCCAACTCCAAACTGGGATGCTTTAGCTGACATTGATGCTGTTGGAGGGGTGACGAGAGCTGATGTTGTACCGAGAATAGTAAATCAGCTAACAACAGAGGCATCAAATGCTGAAGCAGAATGTAGAGTATTTTTTTAGATTTTGCGTGTATTTTAATAATGTTTTGAGCTTCTTTTTATCACTGCATCTCATGGTTGCTCCATTGTTGGTGTAGTTTAGAGTGGAATGTTGTCTATTATGAGAACTCACTGCACAAAGTTCTGTATTCCAACACATTGTGGGATTTGGGGAGAGAATTAGGGAACATATTCTTAAACAGGAAAAAAGTAATTGCATTATTTCTTAATATGTCCTTGTCTTTAAAATTAGCCATGGGTGTGTTTTTAAAAGTGGATATATGGGTTCTTTTTTATTAATGTTATTATTATTATTTTTTTTTGAAGTTCATGCCCGAAGACTGCAAGCTTTAAAGGCTCTTACATATGCTCCTTCGACCAATTCTGAAATATTGTCCAAATTGTACGAAATTGTGTTTGGCATTCTTGATAAGGTATCACTTTCGGTTCTTTCGCATAAACTCATTTGTTTCTTGCCATAGGGGTATTATGTATGTCTGAATCATCTGTAGAACCTTGTTCTTGATAGTAGAAGACTAATTTTGGTGTTGAGTAACATTGGCCAGCCAACCATATATAGCCAAACAAAAGGATCAGATGTCAGAGGGAACTCTAAGCTTTATGAAGCTCTGTTGTTATGGCTACTAACATATTTGCCTGTCTTTATGCCTTTGGCAAATCCAAATTTCTTAATGTTGTTGTGGGCATTGAACATCTTGTATGGTTTGACTAGTGGATTTGGATATCAAAAGAAGATTGTTAGGGCTTGTATTTTTGTTCATTGTAAGCAAACAGTTCTGGTCATGAATGCCTGTGGATAAGGCAGACCGATATGGCTTGAGATTGAATTTAACTTCTATTAATACCATATATTGTTCAGTACACATACAATATTTTGCTTCAGAGAATATTCAAGATATTGATCTTTTTCCTCTCTCTCTCTTGGAATAAGTATCAGACAGATAATGGCTATCTGTAATGCTGTTTTTTTGTTCTTGGTTTCATGAAGATATTCTTCTTACTTTTTAATCTTTTAAATCCTTGTGTTTATATGTATATTAATTTTTAGGTTGCTGATGGCCCACAAAAACGCAAGAAAGGTGTGTTTGGGACTAAAGGTGGCGATAAGGAGGTAAAGTACATCTCCTTAAGTTTTCTTGTTATTAATTTTTCTGCTGAAAGGCTTGGAGTTGTATTTCATGGTGGGTTCCTCTACTTGTGTGGCATTAGTGTTTTTTTTTTATTCTTATGAGCTAGAGTACACACACACCCCTCATTGCCAGCACATATTAGTGGGTCACAAAGTTTTCCGTAAATTTTCTGTTTAGTTATGTACATGGTTTTAAAAATCGGCAAAGGAGCTTTTGTCTGTGGAAGGTAGATTCTGGATGTTGTTCTAATTGCAAATGCTGTGGTGGGGGAAGTGAGGAAGAAGAAGAAAGATGGGCTGGTGTTTAAGATAGACTTTGTGAAGCCCTATGATTATGCGGATTGGTGCTTTTTGGATTTTGTTTCGGAAGATAAAGGGCTTTGGGGAAGTCTGGAGAAAGTGGATGTTTGAAATAGTTATGAACAGACCTAGGGATAAATTTGGCCCTGCAAGGGGTCTAAGACAAGGAGATCCACTATTACCTTTCATATTCACTTTGGTAGTAGATGAGCTAAGCAAAATGGTGGATAGAGCAAGCGAAGTGCAGCATTGAATAGTTTGTCAGTAGAAAGGTAGTGGCAAAATCTCATCTGCAATTTGTGGACGACAACATAATTTTTCTTTCAGGGGAAGATCTCTCAGGACTGAAAATTAATAGAGCTAAGTGCTCAATTGTGGGGATCAACACCTATGATGGGAGAGGTGGCCAATGAAAGATTTGGGATGCTGCTTGGTGGGAACCCAAAGATAGTGGGCTTCTGGGATCAGGTGGTGGAATAGCTGGATAGGAGATTAGAGGGTTGGAAGAAAGCTTTTGTGTCAGGGCTTCAGGCAAACCCTAATCCAATTGGTCCTGAGCAGCTTGCCAAGTTATTACCTCTCTGTCTTGCCAAGTTTCCCAAGAAAATTCTTCTATTATGCACCTGCATTTTTATTGTTCTTTAGCTTATGGTCAATGAATTTCTCCAACTATGCTGATAACTTATATTTTTAATTTTTTTTTCAACTTCAGTTCATCCTCAGGACTAACTTGCAATATGCCGCCCTAAGTGCTTTGAGGAGACTTCCGTTGGATCCAGGAAACCCTGCATTTCTATATCGTGCTGTTCAAGGGTATGTTTTCCTTCATTCTGGTAGTCAACATTTGATTGCATAAAGTTGTTGCTTGGAACATTTCTCTGTATCAATTTCCTTATATAGGTGCATGTGACACATACACCATTTCCATTTTTGTGTGTGTGTGTGTGTGTGTGTGTGTGTGTGTGTGTGTGTGTGTGTGTTTGTGGTCATATATGTATCTTCATTATGCATGAGTTGAAGTTTTGGGGGAAGAACTTTGTTTCGATCCACCAGTTTTATCTTTTTTATTTATGATTTCTGTTTTCCTCATGTCCTCTTTTATGCTTTCAATCTGTTTTTACTTATCCTTCAACTTGCAACATTGATTTTATTTTCTTAGCTACTTCATGATTACTGGGGTATTTTTAGAAATTTGGCCCTTGTATTGTGAAATTGATTCTCCAAGTCTAACAAGTTTGTGTTTCCCTTCAGAATTTCATTTGCTGATCCTATTGCTGTAAGGCATGCCTTGGAAATTCTATCTGAGCTATCTACAAAAGACCCTTATGCAGTTGCAATGGCCTTAGGTGATTTGATTATTTTAACCTTTCAAATATCTCGCATTCCTATTGTGCTATTTAATTATGAGACTAATTAGTTTTTATGCTTCTAATGCTTTACAATGTTTTACCTTTATGCAGGGAAACATGCAGAGCCTGGAGGTATTCTTCGCAATTTTTGTTGTCTTATTCTGTTATTGTTTTTTAAGAAGGGTTCTTTGTTCAATGTGACATGTACTGATATTTACATAGACAAAAAGTTTTATATTTCTAATTATGATGCCCAAATTGAGAAGCAAAATTTCTTAAATCTTAGGCTGTGTTCCTAGTTCAAATGACAGGGTTGTATATGGTTGACTTACATTGTTCAAACAACAGGCTGTGTTCCATTGCTCATCTGATTTCTTGACTTATTGCAAACATTTCATATATCATCTGGTCAATGGCTGCTGCAATTTGCATAATTTTCTGCATAAATGTAGCTGTTTTTAAAAAATATTTTTCTTATACCTGGAAATCCTACAATCCGCAAAGAGGACAAGGCTTTGAAACTGGGGCCTCCGGTCGAACCCTACAATCTTTGGGAGGATAGGTGCCTTTGGGGGTTTTGAACCTCAGACCACATGGGAGCAAACCATAGGCTTGAGCATTTCAAGTAACCCCTCGTTGATAGTTACCTACCTAGCTATTTGCTAGCATTTCCTGCCTCCCAAAGGTTGTAGGGTTCAGTTGGGGTCCCCGTTGTAGGGTTCAGTTGGGGTCCCCATTTTCAAATTGCGTCCGCAATGCGGATTGGTGGATTTCTGGGTGTAAAAAATAAAGAAAAAGAAAGAAATCTGGATTTGTGTAATTAATTGGAAAAATAGAAGTTGATTGATTAACACTGGGTCTAATTTTTACCCTTTTTGCTTAATTAAGTTTTGTTTTGTATTCCGGAAAAGAAAAAGACAAAGGGATCTAATTATTACAATGTAAAAAGAGCCTTTAGTTTGGGACAGGGCTTTCTAGCCAATCCTTTTAATTGGAGGTTTGTTAATATAGGTGACTAGAACATTTCAAAATATTTATCTCTGATGTTTATACTTTACACTTTAATAAATTGTTTATCCTTTTGTACTTGTATGAAAATGAAGAAATAAAAGACTTGTTATGTTCCGAGATATGTTCTTACAATGAATTTTGTGAGATTTCTGGTCTTATCTGGTTTGATGCCATCTTAGGTTGCTCATTTATCTAGAAAGTTTTTATTTTTTATTTTTTATTTTCATAAACATTAGTTTATTAACCTAATATGCTTAATCAATTATTCTTACTTCATTTTTAGTACCTTGCTTTGTCCTATATATCAGGGGCTTTGCAGGATGTCCTCCATTTACATGATGTTCTTGCTAGAGTCGCTCTAGCGAGGTTGTGCTATACAATTTCTAGAGCACGAGCCTTGGATGGTATCTATATATGATGAATTCTTCACTTTTCTTTCTTTATTTAATGTATTTGTTTCCCTTTAAGTTGTATGATTTATGTTTGTTGTTTCTTGAAAATTTTATGTCTACAGAGAGAGCTGATATTCGATCTCAGTTCAATTCTGTGCTTTATCAACTCCTCCTGGATCCCAGCGAAAGAGTCTGTTTTGAGGCAATCCTATGTATATTGGGGAAACACGATAGTGCAGAGAGGTGTCTCTTAAACCTTACTTTTATATTTCAATTTCATCCCTTTTTCCATATCACAAGGTTATAATTGGATGGTAGATTGTTGCATAACTGGTGTTGTACCCACCTACTTATTCACCCTGATATAAATTTTTTTTCTTTCTTAAATTGATTTATTTCTAATTTTTTTTCTTTACCATTTTATAATGTAGGACTGAAGAGCGAGCTGCTGGATGGTACCGATTAACTAGGGAGATTCTCAAATTGCCAGAAGCACCTTCTGTTAAGGATTCCTCCAAAGATAAAGCTCAGAAGACAAGGCGTCCACAACCCCTTATTAAACTTGTAATGAGAAGGTTTAAGGATCTCTCTCTCTCTCTCTGTGCCCCCCCTCCCCCCCTGGGCGTCTGTCTGTTTGTCTATCTTTCTCGCTCTCTTGTTTTGGTATTAGAAGCATCTGAAATAATGTTGGGAGGTCGAGCATCTTTTCATATGTAGGAGTCTTCAATGACTCTCTTTTTAAACTGATTTAAATCATCTTCTATTGATTCCATGCATCCTCGTTTATTCAGGTTGGAGAGTTCTTTCCGTAGTTTCTCTAGGCCAGTACTCCATGCAGCAGCAAGAGTTGTGCAAGAGATGGGGAAAAGTCGGGCTGCTGCATTTTCTCTAGGCATACAGGATATTGATGAAACAGTGCATGTCAATACATTTTCTGAGACTCTTGATTCACAGGATTTGGATAGTACTGAAACCTCACATCCCGAAAGTAATTATTCTACCTTTTTTTGTTTTTGTTTTTTAAATCTTTTGACATGATCTCTTGTAACCTTTTAGTTACTGCTCCATGTCTTCCATAGAATCTTTCATAGAATCTTTCTGATGATTTCGATTCTAGGCTGCCAAAAAAATTGAATGGCCTTCTGAGATATGTATGTGGTGGTTAGTTGATTAATGTAGCTATACAGGCTAGTCACTGGAAATGTTTCATTAATTGGGTAATAGGTACCATAGAAGCATAGGGCATCATTAAAGTGCTTGTAAAATTGTCATTAATTGATAAAGAGTATGCTGTGAATTTTACAACTTGTCCCCTATATTGCACCGCTATTTTTTTTTATCAGTGAGAATACGTTTCCTGTCAAGAAAAAAACAGGCTGCGAGTTCTGCAGTAACTGCACTGGACTTCTATTCATCCTACCTTATCATTTTTTTTATTATAAATTTTATTGATTCTGAGTTTGATATAAAAAAGACGACCCTAATTGTTTAGTAAGTTGAAAGGTTGTTTTATATGGAAAAGCAATAAGTGGTTTCTTTGTGGAGTGATGAGTGAGGCATGTGCTTTTATAAATTTTCAAAGGAGTGAGAGTAGTGAAACCAGTATGGTGGATTTTATTGTTTGCTTTCATTTTTTAATAGTATTGTGCTTTTATATAATTTCAAAGGAGTGAAAGTAGTAAAGTGGATTGTGATCTTATTCTGTTCCTTGTTTTCCCTTCCCACCACATTTTCTTTTCACATAGGTATCCGAAGAACTTCTTCTTTATCTACTGGAGTAGGTGGCAAGGATACAATTGCTAGTTTGTTAGCTTCATTGATGGAAGTTGTGCGGACAACTGTGGCGTGTGAGTGTGTTTATGTTCGAGCAATGGTAATTAAGGCGCTGATCTGGATGCAAAGTCCCCATGATTCGTTTGATCAACTAGAATCTATTATTGCATCAGAGCTTTCTGATCCAGCTTGGCCAGCCACACTATTGAATGATATTTTACTCACATTGCATGCTCGTTTTAAGGTATGTGTGGACAAAAAAGTAACTCATGGTGTGGCATTTGTTTGGAAGTGCATTTGTGTAGAAATCTTTATATATATGTATACCGACTTGTATTAATGAACTTCAAACACAGTACAAAGATGCAGTCGAAGCTATCCACCAACTAACAATAGAAATACAAAACCACCATCCACAAAACAATTTCGCACATCCAATGACAGCTAATGAGGGATCCCTAAAGAAGCTTTGTTCCTCCCTGTTAGTTTGGGAGGGGTTGGTGTTGTTTGTTTCTTTTTGTGTTGTTGTTCTTCTTCGGTTGTGGTTGCCTTATCCACCTCCGTGTTCTTTTGCTTAATAAATTTCGTTTCTTCTCAAAAAAAAATCATGTGAAACTGAAGCCCTGCATGACCAAATTCTGACTTTAATTTATGGTACGCATTTGTATTTTTACATGAGCAATTTTAACTAACTTCACTATCTTATTTCCTGCTGCTTATAATTTGAAGTATTCATTACTATGGAAACTTGATTATGCACTGATATGTCAGAATTCAATGAATAATCATGGGAATGGATGCTATTTTTGATTTTATAATATAAAGCATCTATTACATTAAAAAAATTGTAATAATTAACAAGGACCCGAATTAAAGTCTTGGACGAATTGCAACCTGAAATACCGTACTATGTCTACGCCCAACTAATCTATACCATAGTAATTAGCAAGCCTCGTACCTATTCCCATTCCATGTATTGTATCGTTCCCGGTACCAGGTAACATTGGTATGTCAAAGGGTAAGACGATTGAAATCTACAATTGCATTGTTCAATTGAAGAATAAATTGAATGGTAGTATAGTGCTAAAGGACAATAATGAATCAAGATTGGAGGAAAGGAAAAAACATGACCTGCCAGTGATGACATTATCAAAGTATTGAAGCCAGTTGAAATTGTAGGTTGTCAACTGTCAGTTGGATTTCACATTTTAGAGTATATTTTGTTCTATTAGGCGTTGAGTATAGAAGTAGTGGAGCACTAGTAATTGGATGGGAGGTTGGGAGCGGGAATTAACCATACCCTGTCTAACTTATCTTTCTGGTAGTGAAATCAATGGTGCACAAGGCTATCTAAACTAACTCTATTCCAATATAAGGGTTTTCTTTAATTTTTTTAGTGGGGCACTCGCCATTTATTAAGTCTAAATAAGCTTTTAATATGTGTTATTAGGCGACCCCAGATATGGCTGTCACTCTTCTTCAAATCGCCAGGATCTTTGCAACTAAAGCTCCTGGGAAGATTGATGCTGATGTATTACAACTACTGTGGAAGGTAATTTCCTTCAATCCTCACTACAGGCAGTTCTTATCTACTTAAAATGTAATTCTGTATGTCTTTTCCACTGTATATTTTCCTTGCATTTATTTTAGTAAAGTCGGTGTTTCATGGAAAATAATTTATTTCTGTATGTTTTTCCACTGCTGCTTTGTACATAGTTAGTCAATTATCATGATATGCTTTTCTTACTTTTTTTCTTTTTCACTTTGTTTTACTGTTACTTTTATAGGCTTGGGTCAGTTATGATGACATGGTAACATTATCCAACCAAAATGAGCTAGAGGATATAGGATACCAGTGCAGTTATGAAATATGTAAAGCATGTATCTTACAGTTCTAACATTAGAATACTGCAACTTTAACAATGATGCCTTAGGGAAAGTGCGGATCATGTACTTCTACATTGCCCACTAACATTAAATTTGTGGTTGTACTTGTTAAGAGAGGTAAAGTGAGTTGGGTTATTCCAGCACACGGTCACAATATAAGGACCTTTATTTTTCTGATATTTATTTGCATTAGAAGTCGGCTGTGCGTTATTTTCAATTAGGTTACCCTGTATTCTTTCTTTGTAGTGTTTTTTTTCCGGGTAGTTTACCAGATTTTGCCGGTGTTAAGTTGGACTTCTGCTTCGTACAGATTTGTTCTTAATAAAATTATGTTTCTTCTAAACTTTATGTCTCAAGTGCTGCTCTGTTTGTTGTAGTGTGTACTCTATGATTGAATCCTTGTCCACCATTTAGAACATTTGATTTGTGTTAATAAAAGTTCCTTTCTTGTCTAAAGAAGAAAAAAACCGACTTGGAACTGAAACTTTGTGATGTGTTTTTCATATCGTTAACCTGAATGTGATGATTTCTTTCTTTATTTTTATGGTGAAATTATATTAGTGATTGTTTGATTTGATTGGTTATTATAACCGTTCCAATTCCAGACATGTCTCGTTGGAGCTGGTCCTGATGGGAAACACACTGCCTTAGAAGCGGTTACCATAGTTCTTGATTTACCGCCACCACAGCCTGGGTCAATGTTGGGCCTTACATCTGTGGACAGGGTATCTGCATCTGATCCAAAGTCAGCTTTGGCATTGCAGAGATTAGTACAAGCAGCAGTAAGCATCTTTATAATCAGTAGATGCTTTATTTGTTCCTCTTCCAATTTATCCATCAAGTAACCTAATTTATTTTATTTATTGATGAATAAATGTACTGTTAGGTATGGTTTCTTGGAGAGAATGCAAACTACGCTGCTTCTGAGTATGCCTGGGAATCCGCAACCCCTCCTGGTACTGCATTGATGATGCTAGATACAGATAAAATGGTTGCTGCTGCCAGCTCTCGTAATCCTACTCTAGCTGGTGCACTGACTAGGCTGCAAAGATGCGCGTTTAGTGGCAGCTGGGAGGTATTAGCTTCCACCTCAGTATCAGCCATTTATCATATCAACACAAGTTTATTGCCTCTATCTTAGAACGATAAAAAGGTTAATTAAGTACTAGTTTTAGCCAACCTGCCTTTACTAGCATAGGTCTCCCAATGTTAAGGGTTGTAATGATCTATTGAGGGATGATTTCTAAAGCATTGGGACAATGGTAATGGTAGTTAGAACATTGTTATACCTTTCCTGTTGGTGGTTCTAGGACTATGAAGCTTCAATTAATCAATTTTGCATAGAATCTTTTTCTTCCTTATACCATATTTTTGGTTCTTTCACACTTGTTTTTCTGTACAAACAAATTTGTTGACATGTGAACTCACCCTCTACTTAATTGGGAAAGGGCAATGGCTTTTCGCCCAGAAACTATGGGAATCCATACACATGAACACACAAATTTGTTAACTGTGAACTCACCCTCTACTTGTTTGTTCCTCTTATATGTTGTTCGTTCCATTGGGTTCTCCAGGTTCGTATTATTGCTGCTCAAGCTCTTACAACTATGGCAATAAGGTCTGGTGAACCTTTTAGGCTACAGATCTATGAATTTTTACACACGTTAGCACAGGGGGGAGTGCAGTCTCAGTTTTCTGAGATGCATCTCAGTAATGGGGAAGATCAAGGAGCTAGTGGCACAGGCCTTGGAGTTCTAATAAATCCCATGATAGAGGTTCTTGATGAAATGTATAGAGCACAAGATGATTTGATCAAGTAAGTGATACAAAATTTTCTTGAAATGTGTCATATTTTTTTAGTTATTCACGTTAGTTTGCTTTGCGGACAGGGAAATACGCAACCATGACAATGCTAATAAGGAATGGACAGATGAAGAACTTAAGAAACTATACGGAACTCATGAACGGTTGCTTGATCTTGTTTCGCTGTTCTGTTACGTCCCAAGAGCAAAGTATCTGCCTTTGGGGCCAATAAGGTACAGATTCGTTTACACTGCCATAGCCTAGGTGTTGTATTTGAGAGAATAAGAGGGGTGATTTTTTTGGTGTGTGTAATAATTTGTTATGAAATGTGGAGATGCAATTTTCAGTTCCTTTAGCAAATGTCTGCCTTTTGTAAGAATGCTTTACCCAGATATGGTTGACTTTAGTTTTCTGTCTCTGTTATATAGGTAGAAGCAGAATTCCTCAAATGTGTTATCTATTCACTAAGCACAGTGTTAATTTTATAATGTCTTTCATTCTTCGCACAATTTCAATGCACATTTATTGAGCATTTGTTCTTCCCATTTCTCCCATGCCCTTTCTTCTTGTGTCTAACTGACATGCCAAATAACCAAGGTTGAAAATTGTGATGTCGGTGGAAATAATTGTGGTCCAAATTTCGGAGGAAATATTGGTGGAAATATCAGAAAAAAATTAAACTAATTATCAATATTTTACGAGGTGAATACAGAAGAAAGTTTAGTATGATCCTTCTAACCATTTGAAGGATGTCCTGTTTATTATGAGCATGATTCAAGAGTAAGGGGGTAATTTACAACTAATTTCTGCCTACAAATCATATTAATGAAGGATTGACTATGTCAACATCGTTGGTCTAAAATATTATGAGATGATTCTTACATACTAGAACTCTATTTCCAGTTGAACTTCAAGTGAGATTTCTTGTTAACATGGGTTTTACCCTTTTTTTTTCTCTGCATTTCTTATTTAGTTCCCCTTCATAATCTTATGACAGTGCAAAACTGATCGACATCTACCGCACACGGCACAATATTAGTGCATCAACCGGTCTGAGTGATCCAGCTGTTGCTACTGGAATTTCTGATCTTATTTATGAATCTAAACCAGCAGCTGAAGAGTCTGACATGCTTGATGATGACCTTGTAAATGCTTGGGCAGCAAACCTTGGTGATGATGGACTGCTAGGAAATAATGCACCGGCAATGAGCAGGGTAACAAGTTTAATTGATTTAACATTAAAGTTTAACTTTTGGTTTGTTTATAGAAGTATGAATCTAAAAACAGAACACTATCACCCTGTTATTTTAAAATACATTTAGTCCTGACTGATATTTAGACATTTATGAACATCTTACCCTCTTATGTTTCTATACTAAAGCTGAATTTGAAAATTAACAGTAATTATATAATTCCGATTGAGAGTTCTATAAACATATTACTGTAAGTTCTTTCCCATGTTGTATCTTATAATTTAACTTTTAGGAGTTTGAGTGAGGGTATTTGTAGAATTTTCTGAATTTATGTCTTTTATTGTACTTGGAGAGTTATGACTTTGGGCTATTCAGGGATCTGGGCCATTTCTTGCAAGTCCTTTTTGTTTGATTGCTAGACAATCAGGCTTTATCACCTTTTCTAGATAGCCCTTTTTTGTCTATACACATGCTGAATTTGACAATTAATAGTATTTGTAATTCAGATTTGAGAGATTATAAGTTTCTACCCTTGTTTATCATATAGTCCAAAGTTTATGTTTTCTGGTAGTTGCACTCATCTTTAAACCCATAATTCAGCTGGACTTGTGATGCAGGATGTGTAGGACCTAAATTTATTAGTTTCCTAATGTATTTGTTAGTTTCCTGGATTCTCTAGTTTTCCAATTTCTAGTAGGATTTCTACTTTTCCAGATTTCTAGTTTTAAGTTTCCTATTTTATTTGGGATAGGATTATGTTTAAGCAAGGGATTTTTACCCTATTATTTCTAGGTTTTAGTTTGCAATAAATACCCCCTTGTAGCTCTTTAAAATTCAGATTTGGATATTGAGTAAATCTTCTCTTAAAACTATGTGATTTCTGTCCTTCGCGGTTCTCTGATTTCGGTCCTTTCTTTCGTCCTCTTGATCTATATTTTCGCGTCTCCTCAACCTCCGATATTCTTCTTTATTCTATTGTTTAAGTGTTTAATCTAATAACTATGGGCTGTACTACATCAACTTGTTTGTGAACATGTCTTGTAAGTACCCAACAACTAAGTGAATGATCCTTTATTTTCTTTAAATCTGTAAATGAGAAGGCATCTATCATTAAATAATCACAACTTATAGTATATTATTGAATTATTTAAACCTAAAGATATGAAGTTTTTAAATAATTTTGTAATGTAGGAGCTTTTGGTCTGTTAATAATGGAAAGAATAATATGCGTAGGAATTCTAACCGACATAGTTTAGGACATCTAAGACATTGATCATGAGGCATAGAAAGACTCTACAACATAAGCCTCCAAAACAATAGGCCTGAAATCCACGTCTAAATTGCATTAATTACACAAAAGGTGCAAAGACTAGATTATGTGGTGCTTGGATGAGCTTATTCATGGTACTTAGAGCTTGGCTTCTCCATCACATACTAATTGGTGAATGGATGTAACTGTTTAATAGAAGCACACAATTTATCCTTTCTTCTGCTGAAAATATAGTCATCTAGTCTTTAGTTAGATATTATATTTTTACATGGTTGGGGCAGATGCCTTCTGCTTTGATCCCCGACACGGGCTGGCTGTTTGTTCTATAGTTCAAAGAATGGCTTCCTCAATTTGTTTCCAGTCTTGATTTCTTGTAATAGTTTGCAGAGTTGTTACTTATTGATTTAAGAAAGTAGATTTTGGACTATTGTCGTTAAATTTTGTATTTAACTTGTATGCACCATTCATTTGCTACTCTTGATCCATTTCAAATGGATGATTAGTTCACCTCTACTTCCTGTTAGGTTAATGAATTTCTTGCTGGTGCCGGAACCGATGCTCCTGATGTTGATGAAGAAAACATAATCTCTAGGCCTTCAGTTAGTTATGATGATCTGTGGGCAAAGACTCTTTTAGAGACTTCTGAGCTAGAGGTATATGTTCCTGACTGAGTTGGCCTTACATGAAATAGAGCTGGAGCGTTCATTTTTACATTGAGAAGGTTGTCACTAATTGTATTCATTTGGATTGTAGGAGGATGATGGGAGGTCATCTGGGACATCTTCCCCAGAATCAACAGGATCAGTTGAAACTTCCATATCATCCCACTTTGGTGGAATGAACTACCCTTCACTTTTCAGTTCACGGCCGGTAAGAGATGCATTGATCAATTTCAATTTTTTTTTGGGGGTTTCCTTTAATAAACTTCTACGTATGTTTTTACAGTATTTTAAACATCTACAAATCTTTGCCCAGGTTCTAGTACTAAGACTGCGTATTTAGGCTCTAGAACTTTAATACAGTGCCTAGTTCTTAGGTTTTAACAATATGAGCACTAGGATCCAGATACTGAAGATGACCATGTTAAGGTTCATCAGTAATTTAAACCAAGTAATTTTGTACCATGAATATATGCTAAATATGTTATTCTTTTTCTAATATTCTGTTACAGTCCATGGCATGTACACACCATGAAGTTGGTGCAACCATGACTTGCTGGAAATGTAGTATTTATGTCTTTAAGATTTAATTTTTGAATCAGACTGGTGGGATATAACATTGGAATTTTTCATTTCTCAAATTTACCCTCTTTCACATAAACTGCCGATGAAGTTCATTTTCGAGCAATTTTTGATAATATACATGAAATAGTCTAAACAGTTGCTGTCTTGGAAAGTAATCAAGGGAAAGAGAAATGGATAAGGGAGATAGGGAAATGTAGGAGAGCGACAAAGGGAAGGGGAGGGCCTGCACAGTTAAAAATGAGTCTGTACCGATTAACTTTTTGTCTTTTCTATTTTTGTTGGAATGTGTCAAGTTCTATTAAAAGTTATTAGTTCTATTGTTTGCTTAAGGCTCAAGACTACCGTTGGATTAAATCCAACCTCTGTTGACCATCACCTTCCCTAGTTGGAGAACCAGACTCTAAGCCCCTGCTCTTCTAGCCGGGGGGACCCTTTATTGTCTGCACATGTTGATATAAAATTTTATGAGGAAAATGAGAAAAGAATTTTTAGTATCATGGACCACAGTTTCTACAGATAGGATTAAATGGTAGTTGGAGCTAATGAGACTTGACTTAGGGTCTAAATGTGAGGCATATATGGAACCCTAGATACGAGGGAAGAAATGTGTCCATGGACTTTTGATTATGGAATTTGGTTGAAGCTGTATAATGTTATAATCTGTGCAAAAATGTGCTTTCAGTTTTTCAAGAACAAAAGAAATATATATATATATATATATATATATATGAAAGAAAGAAACACCCTGTGTTAGATCTTAAAAGAGCTAAGATCAAAGCATTTTCTTTACCTGTACTAACTCATTGCCTGATTGATGCCCCGAATATTACTGGGGATTATAGATTTTTACTTGGCATACACTGTCATCTGCTATATAGGATTGAATTGTTTGATGAATTAATTATTTGCAACAGGAGAGGTCTGGAGGAAACAGATATACCAATCCATCTACGGGGGGTCCCTCATTCAGTGAGGGTTTAGGATCTCCAGTTAGTGCTCATTGCCTCTCATCTAGCTAGGTTTTAGTCTTATGATTCTATCAGAATTTTAATTCTTCTAATTCGTTTCCAGATTAGAGAAGAGCCTCCGCCATACTCGTCACCTGCCGCACAAAGATTTGAATCATTTGATAATCCTTTAGCTGGGCGTGGATCCCAAAGTTTTGAATCTCAAGATGACGAACGCATTTCTTCTGGAAATCCTCAACATGGAACGGCACTTTATGACTTCACGGCTGGTGGAGATGATGAAGTAAGTCTAACTCCTAGCAATTCAATCTGGACTTAAAAGTTTTTATTTTATTTTTATGATCCAAAGGTGTCTCACTCCAAAGTTGAGCAGGTATTTGCATTTTAAATGATAAGAAGTTTACTGGATAGAGTGTCTTGCCTTTTGCTGTGTGTGAACTATTGCTGTCTTGTCTCAGTCAGACTTGTCTGGCAGTTTCAGTTGAAACATGGAGGTGATTAATATGGTTCTGTCCGTGCAGTTAAATTTAACAGCGGGTGAAGACGTTGAAATCGAGTACGAAGTGGATGGCTGGTTTTATGTAAGTATATAGAGAGAATAGGACTGAATAAACCCAAAAAGAAAGAGGAAAATTCTTATTCCTGCTTTTTAGTCCTCCAATATCTGTGAAGCAAGAATCAGCCAATTAGTGTATTTTTGGATAACCTTATTTTCTTATTGTTGATTACTCATTTTTGTCCCATGAGAGGAATTTATATTTTTCATCTTGACCTCTTTTTCCCCTTTGAATGGTCATTCTCTTGCGTTGTTGCCAATGAGGCAGCATATTTATTCACGTCAGTTGCTAATGTAAGGCATTTTCACTCTTTTTACAGGTGAAGAAGAAACGCCCTGGGAGGGATGGAAAAATGGCTGGGCTGGTCCCAGTCCTCTATGTTAATCAGTCGTGAATTGCAGATTGTACAAGAAAGTTTTGATCCTCTATTCTACGTTCTGCACTGTCTTATACGGTTATCTGGTTTCGTAAAGTATCAGAGCTGCTCCAATATTTAAAGCTTCAAGTTCTCATATTGGCCGTAGGCTTGTCTATATGACTTTGAAGTTTCAATCCCTACTTGATGCTACATTCTGGAAGCTCCAAGTAGGTCAATATTTTAAGAGCAGCGGGAGTTCCTGAAGAATCAACCAGTGTGTGTATTAGTCATTCGTTTACAATTCTTGTTTGTATTATATTATGTTTGTTCTCCTCCTTTCACTTGTGGTTTTGATGTCGCAGCTCCATGAAATTTAGCTAGTATTAGATCGAATGTACGGGCAACATTTTGTTTATTTTGGCTGATTATTTGCCCGTGTATAATGTTTTTAATCTTCACGACTTCTCATGAAACCTGAGGCTTTGCATGGACACTCGGAACTCTCTCCTCTGAAACATGTTATGATGTTACTCATGCTTTCAATCTGTCTTGGAAATTACTCAAATTTAATTTTGTTTTTAAGAATATATGTTTGCTAAATTTATATCTGAAATATATTTACTAAAAAGGATAATTGAAGTACAAAGCTAGAATATAAAAATAAATAAAAACCGAATTTATCTGTCTCATATAGTAATTAATATTATCGTCTGTCACATTGACTAGACTAACCATTAGGTGTTTTACAATTGGCCTGGAAAACTGACTTCGCCTAGGTTCCAACTTCCAATGGAGTCTCAGTAAAACCGGAAGTTACTATAGGTAGTGGAACGAATTTTATTCAGTAATCCTATGCATGAGGGTAGTTTCACAATTTCAAATTGAAAAAAAGAAAAGAAAAATAAGTAACCGGAAGTCAAATTAAGAGAAATTTACACAAACACCACCTGATAACCGAAACTGAACTGGTATGCCATGTGGCAGCAAAGCATTGGGCTACTTACCGTGCCCAAAACGGGTATGCCACGTGGCGCAGCAGCGGGGGTATTTGTAGTTTTTTTTCTTCAAAAATTTTCATTTCCATTTGAAAAATCTCTGGAGAGAGAGAAAGGGAGCATATTAGAAAAAGCAAAACACATAGAGAACTTCTCAGTCTGTGTGTTATGGCTCCTTTCTTTGTGTTTCCCAAAAGCCTGAGAGCCTAAGAAGAAGAACACGAAGACAACCGCCTCTACGCTCGGAACATGCTCGACATCGCTTCTCTTCGTCCCTCCGAACTCGAAGAGTTCGTCACAGGTGTTGATACCGTGACTAATCGAGCAACTAGCTAGTCAAGATCAGCCACGTGTCATGCTATGAGAGGTCATCACCTTAGCTAAAGAAGCCTTACCACAAGTCACAAATCTAGGTAAGGCAAGGAGTCCCACATTAGAAGACTATAAGAAGTGGAGACTCCCCTTCACCTATAAAAGAAGACTACTCTTCTCCTAGAAAAAGGGGTCTTGGGGGTTTGATCTTTGGATCGTTTGGTCTTGGGTCTTGGATCCCCTTGGTTGGGCTTTATCTTTAATCATGAGTCTTTGTCTTCTTCTCTTTGTATTTGGGTCTAATCCCTTGTACAAATGTAAATACACATTATTATGAGAATGAGAATATACTTCTCCGTACATGCTTGCCCAAATTCTCACACACTTGGTGATAGTTCTCACCTTCACCCATCATCCATTACACATCACCATTAAGTTGGGCTCAAAAGTGCCGAACCATTTTTGAGCATCAACAAAAGGTATCTCCCTCTCTCACTCTCTCTCACGCAGTTTCACTAAATCTACCGCATTATCCAATTCTAACATCCGTTTGGTTGCCGAGAAAATTCACCTTCCAAGTTCCAAATTATACTGTGTCACTGGTCCTGCTTTTTAAAGAAATTGATGTGCATAAGAAGTGGATCCCTCTCCTATAATTTTCTGGTTCAGTTAATTCTGAATGTTTAGCATTTGGTCACCTCAAGTGTCAAGTCAACCAAGTAGATGCTGATTTTATTGTTAAGGAAACCCTAGAAAAACGTAAAGTGTGGCTGGGGATTAGTAAGTAAAGCAGAAACATTTGAAATTCAAACTGAGTTCAAGAACATTGAACCAATGATAATGGATTTAGCTGAATTTATTTATTCTAACAAATACATTTTTTTCCTGGGTTTTAAGCAAGAATCATTGTAAGTATTGGCTTCCTGGAGTTGGAAATTCACATTTTTTTGGCTTTATGGAAAATTGATGTATCTGCTTGAAAAACCATTGCATGCATTGCTTCTTTTTTCTTTTAATTTTAATTCTAATAGGGAAGCAGGACTGAGAATGCGCGTATTCTGATCCCAAATATAAGAGGACAAACAGTCAACTGTATTATCTGATTCAAAATGAAATACTCTAATTACAAGAACAACTAAGTATGAGGATGTTAAAATTTTTGCAGTTTTTGAATTTGTCTTCCTTTGTGGCACCAACAAGCATATCCTTTGATCTCTCCGATAAGGAGCAAGATGTGTTTTGATCGTGTGTGCTCATTGATTCGGGGTTACAATAATCTACCCCCATCTTGTAAGGTTAATCTTCTAGAGAGTCTTCGGTCCAATCTCAGTGTTCTCCTCCCAAATGTTGATTCACTATCACGGGTTTCTCAAGGTCAGGACGATGTCACTCCAGTGCTGGATCGGGTTGCATCACATCGTAATGCTTTTAAAATCTACACATTCTTCCTCCTTACTGTTGTTTTCACTGAGGAGTCCAACATCACTTCCAACAACAATGTGAAGGTGTGTTCTTTTTCCTACAGAGCTCTTTATCTCGCTCTCTATTTGTTTCTACTACTTTAACACGGTATATGTTGTGTGCAAGCATGCACACTAAATTCAAACGTTATAAACATGTATATATTGAGTGTGATATTGCCAGTTTTTGTGCCAAGATGTTGAAGCCTTTTGCTTGGATTTAGGTCACAGCAAGTACCAGGAAGAAGCATCCTAAGAACACAGGGAATTGGGAGCCACAAAGAGGCCGCATACTTAATTTGATTGCTAATTCATTAGAGATCAAGCTTGCCTTGCTCTTTGGTTCATCAGGCTTGGAAGAAAATTTTATTTCGTTCATTGCCAAGTAAGTTGGATAACTACTACAATTCAATCAGATTTAGTTTTGTATCTTTTCCTTCGGGTTAATTACATTTTTTTTTCCTTCCTGATTTGGGGTTTTGTAGAAATGCATTTTCTCTGTTTGAGAATGCTGCACTTTTAAAAGACACCGACACAAATATGCTTTGTGCCTTATAATTGGGGCTTGTGCCATAAAATACCAGTACATGGCACAATCATGTGCATCGATCATGCATCTAGTTCACAAATATGATTTTGTTGTTACCCACATTGCTGATGCGGTTGCTGGGGCAGAGAAGAAGTATGCACATTGCTGATGCGGTTCAAGGATACTGTTGGGGCTGAAAATGTTGGTCGGGGTTTTTGGTGGAACTTTCTGATCGACTACCTAAACTAGTGTCTACCAACATTGGCCTCATTGTCCCACATTTTTCGTGGAGAATCTTATAAGATAAGGAATGCTCTTGTTGGGGTCTTGGGAAAGCTTGTTGCAAAGGCTTTTCAGGATGTTGAAGGTGAAGTGAGTTCTAAATCTGTTCGTCTTCGAACCAAGCATGCCATGTTGGAAATTTTGCTTGAGCGGTGTCGAGATGTTTCAGCTTATACAAGGAGTCGAGTTCTTCAGGTTTGGGCTGAACTATGTGAAGAGCCTTCTGCTTCAATTGGCTTGTGGAATGAGCTTGCAGAAGTTGCTTCTGGGAGGTTGGAGGATAAGAGTGCATTGGTTAGAAAATCTGCACTAAATTTGCTTATTATGATGTTACAGCATAACCCATTTGGTCCAGAACTTTGAATAGCTTCGTTTGAAGCAACCTTACAACAGTACAAGAACAAGCTGAAAGAGCTTGAACCAGATATATCTTCAGAAAGTGAAAAGAACAGGTTACCATCTGATGATTGTACTACTGGAGATAGTGAGGTTGATGATGCAAATGCAGACGTGACTAAGGAGCAGCAGGACAGTTTGCCTGTGAGTTGCTTGCCTGATATGGAACAGAATATAGTGCAGAAAGATGGCTCTGTGCCAGATGTAGGGAACTTAGAACAGAATAGGACCTTGGTAGCATCACTTGAGGCTGGATTAAGGTTTTTGAAGTGTATATCTGCCACAATACCAATACTTGTTCAATTGATGGCATCATCTTCTGCGACTGATGTTGAGAACACAACACATTTGCTAATGAGGTGCAAGCAGTTTCAAATTGATGCCTCAGAAGCATGTCTCCGTAAGATGCTGCCACTGGTATGTTTTTATTTTAACTCAAGCTCTAGAAATAATGATGCAATGTTTTATTTGGGTCAATAATTTTCCTATTTGTTCAATCTCGATTAACAAACTCTAGATTTGATTGTTGTCTGGTTCATGAGATGTGTAGGATCCTAAATGTGTCTCGGGTTTGTAGGTATTTTCTCAGGACAAATCCATCTATGAAGCTGTGGAAAATGCTTTCATTACAATTTACATAAAGAAGAGCCCAGTAGAAACAGCCAAGAATCTTATGAATCTTGCCACAAAATCAAATATTGGAGACCTAGCTGCTCTTGAGTTTATAGTTGGTGCCTTGGTGTCTAAAGGTGATATATCCACTGGTGCGGTATGTCCTTTTCAGTTCTCACAGTCTTGCTTAAGTTTGTTGAAAGCTTCTATTTATGTGATAATAATTTTTATATTTTGCATGAAAAGATATGCATTTTCTTGATGTTTTCAGCTTGCCAAAATTGACTCGACTATGGGTCTAAAAATATCAGTTTAGGCAAGTAGAAGCCAAGCCAAGTATTTTAGTCTAAACAAGCAAGTGTATACATACACATAAAATGGAATCCGATTGTGATTTCCACAGTTAGTACAGATAAGGAAAAAAAAGATTCATACCAAAAGGCAACCTCAGGATCGATTTTAGAATATGGGTCTAGTTATTTTTTCACGTTTCAGTGGTGCTTCTCAGTAAACTCAGTTGTAAAATCTTTCATACCAATTTTTAAAAGCCAAAAATCTCTTCTCAGTGTTGAAATCTCTTATTCTGTCTCCCCATTATTTAAAGAGCCAACTTTCTTACTAGGTGTTTGTTTTTGCAGATATCAGCATTGTGGGAGTTCTTTTGCTTCAATGTAAGTGGAACTACTGCCGAGCAAAGTCGTGGTGCGTTTCCTGTCCTTTGCATGGCAGCAAAATCATCCAGCATAGTTCTTGGCTCTCATTTACAGGACATTATTGATATTGGGTTTGGTCGTTGGGCTAAGATGGAACCTTTACTTGTTAGGACAGCATGCATTGCTCTCCAGAGATTGTCTGAAGAAGATAGGAAAAAGTTGTTGTCTAGTAATGGAAGCCGGGTTTTTAGTATTTTAGAGAGTTTAGTTACTGGGTTTTGGCTTCCAGAAAACATATGGTATGCTGCTGCTGACAAAGCCATAGCTGCTAGATATGCAATTCATCCAACTCCGGAAACTATAGCTTCCAATCTAGTGAAGAAATCTCTAAGTTCTGTTTTGAATGTAGTGGAGGTGAGGAGTTGCAGAGTGAAATCACCAGTGGTAGTGCTGGCATACTTACCACAGTTCAGGTTGCAAAACTTAGTAGATATCTCTTTGTCATAAGTCATATTGCCATGAACCAACTGGTATACATTGAATCCTGCCTTCAGAAAGTTCAGAAACAGAAAACTGGGAAAGAGAAGACAGATAGTTGGTACTCATACAATCCAGTTTGGATTTAATGGCCTCATGTCACTTATCTAATTCAATGTCATACGTATCCTCAATGTGGTTAGAAGAATCTTCCTATACATCTAAGATGGGTTTGTTGATCCCATTAACTTTACATGGAGCTTTTAGGAACATGGTTGTCAGGTAGTTGAATTCTGAATTTTGGTTGGTTATAGCTGGTTTCCATGCGTTCTATCAATTGTCCATTTGCCCTATTTCAAGCAAATTCTCCTATACGGAATAAAGTGGACGTTCCGACAAACAACTTTTTGCTCATCTAGTTGATAGAAGCAATTTTATAAGGTTTCCCTTAGATGACCCACAAATCTAAATTGAAATACCCAACTCTAAGCTCATACATATGACATATTTTCATATACGTATGACAACCCAAAATCTTAACAACTTTAAGACTTGACTTTCATTATAACTACTCTCATGGAGTTCTTTGAAATTTATTTGGAAGGCACTCTAATCGACAAGCACATTGTCGTTAGTGGTACATATCCTTACATAGTTCAAGGGTAAATCAGTAATTCATAATGGACCGAACCATATCCATTATTGTTCAATTTCTCTTTTCAGAGAAGTCCATTATGATGTGATGCCTCGTTCCTTGATAGTCAAGGAACTTATGTCCTCAAGTATCCATTTCCTTGATCGAATAAAAAAAAAGTTAAATACTTTCGAAATTCTGCTTTTCTTCTTATACATTCTTGAATTCTTTAAAACCTTTTTCAAAGATTCAGACTTGTGTTGTATAGGATACACATAGTCCAACAAATAGTGATCATCGGTGAACGTCATAAAACAAGAGAAGCTTACTTTGTTGTAGTGTACACATACCACAACCATCAAAGTGTATTAATCTTCTCATAGACCTTTTAGGTCGTTGAGGCATCATTGATTTTCTCAACAGTTAATACAACCATTCATTTCCTCAATGAAAAAGGCAAGTAATCGGATTATGACAATCCAGTTATTCATGTATAAAGAACAATGTAGTTTTATCGAACAAAACCTTATATCCGTTTTATCGAAAAAATTATAAGGTTTTTTATTTTTCAAAGTATATATATATATATATATATACATATATATTATATAATATATATCTATGTATATACGTGTATATATGTGTATTACATATATACATACACACATATATATATATATGTGTGTGTGTGTGTGTGTATACATATATATTAAACATATATTACATATGTGTATATAAGTGTATGTATATGTATATTATAATATAATATATATATTGGTGTATTATAATAATAATATATATGTATATACATATGTATATTATAGTATATGTGTATATTATAGTATATAATATATATGGGTATATAATAATAATATATGTGTATACATATGTATATTATATTATATAATATGTATATTATATATTATATAATATGTGCATATATACATGTATATATGTATATACATATGTATATTATGTAGGGGTGTAAATTGGATTGGAATTTCGTCCGATTCCAGTCTGAAATTTTCCAAAAATTTCCGACTTCGATACCTCCGATGTCCGAAAGTGCCGAAATTCGATTTTTCCGATAAAATTCATATTGGAATCAGAATGTATCTGTAAATTCCGAAAATTCCAAATTTCGATCCGAAAAATTCCGAACTACTTTGAACTCATTCCGATCCGATTTTTCCAATTTTTTCTGAAAAATTCTGAAATTTTAATTATAATTATATATATTTTTTATTTATAGGTCTTATATATGTTTTATTTCAGTACTCATATATTCATATATGCTAAACATAGGAGTATATTAATTGAAGACTATTGGAAAAAAAAATAGTCTTGTTTTGGATCAAAGGTGTAAAATTAAATAATATGGTTCAAAGGGTAACAATTCCATGGTCACATACTAAGGGTAAATGTCATGGTCACACACTAGATTAATAGTTGATCCAATAAAATTGATCATGGTTCAAAGGGTAACATTAAATCATACACTAGATTAATAGTTGATCCAATAAAATTGATCATGGTTCAAAGGGTAACAATTCAATGGTCACACACTAAGGGTAAATGTCATGGTCACACACTAGATTAATAGTTGATCCAATAAAATTGATCATGGTTCAAATGGTAACTTTTAATCATACACTAGGAGTATACTAAACATAGGAGTATATATTACTTTAAGACTATGTATTTTTGGATATGCTTGTTTGAATATTACAAAAATGCATGTGGGGTTATTAAATCCAAACATACTATATAACAAAAATGCACGTATACTTATATATTCTTATATACAGTCCCCTTCTATTGAGGGATCCCTCAAATAATTTTATTTGAGGGACGCCCTTTAGGGTACCCTACATTTTTTTTTCCAATGATCCAAACCATGTAGTTTTTAGGTCTTCATTCATAGATCATCCTTACAAAAAATTAGACAAATCGGAAATCGTTTCGACATCCAATTGTGTCTTACAAAATTAATGAACACGGTGCTTCAAGAAAGTACTAAAATTTCAATAACTCAATTGAGTGATCAAATAATATCGGATTCAAGTGATTTTTTGTAGAGATGATCTTTGAATGAGTATCTACAAAATAGACGGTTTGGATTAGTGAAATACAATCCATAGTGGGGCCTACAAGGGGTGTCCCTCAAATAAGCTTATTTGAGGGATCCCTCAATGGAAGCTCTCTGTTCTTATATATTCTATATATGTGTATCCCAAGTTATATTTATACAACCCAAAATTAAACAAACATTTCATTATATGAGACAAAAACTCTCTCCCTATATTAACTAAACACACATATAATTATAAGTAAGATAAAATATATACTATATAGGAAGTAAAAAATAAAAATAAAACATTTTCCTTTTGTTGGGCCCTGCCCCCATCTCTCCCCTCTCTCATTTTTTTTTCTTTTTCCTTCTTCTTCCTCTCTTTATCTGTCTCTGTCTCTTCCTCTTTTTTTCTCTCTTTACTTTTTCTCTCCATCTCTCAATCTCTCCCTCTGTCTTAGTCTCTCCCTCAGTGTTTTTTTTTTTTTCTTCCTTTTTCTTCTCTCTATATTTTTCTTTTTTTTTCCCTTCTTTTTCTTCTCTCTCTCTCTCTCTCTCTCTCTCTCTATGGTGATGGTGGTCTGATTGGGTGGTGGTTTGATTGGATATGGGTGGTACAGTGGTATTGATGCCAGGGTCAATTGGGTGTTGCCGCGTGATGTTATGGCTTTTGGAGTTTTTTTGCGAGTGGTGCCAGTCCCACATCGACTGCAAACAGAACTTCAATTTTTTTCCTACTCTATAAATATCTTCACCTTAGCAAAGTTCAATAACACTTGGGCCCCGTTTGGTTCATGGGAAAGGAGGCTTAGGAATGGGAATTCAATTGCTTTCCCATGTTTGGCAAGTGGGAAATGGTTGCTTGGCACATGAGAAAGTACGGGGGAAATTGAAGCCCTCCTCTCAACTTGGATTTTGTTTTCCCTCCTCATGGGAAAGTTTGGGAAAATGAGCCAACATTCAATGCACAATTTTCATGAATATTTTGTCCTCATGAACAATTTGGAATTACAATGTATCATTAAATGCATTCTTTTTTATTTTGATTTAATATGGGTATAATTGGAAAATTATACAAACTTTGTTTTCCATTCCTACTCAAAACAAACATAAGAAAGGAAACGAAGTGAAATCTCCCGGTCACTTTCCCGACATTACCAAACGTGGGAAAGGAATCTTTCATTTCCCATTCCTTGGGAAATGACATGGGAAGTGATTTTCCCTCAAATCCATTCCGTGAACCAAACGGGGCCTTAAAGGCTAGTCTACTGTTGGGCGGGCTTGCAATGTCACAAAATTTTTGGGCTTTTTAAAATTTCCCTAATTTAGGTTTTTAACAAATTGTCCAGTTGAGATTTTTGCTAAATGCATAGTTTAGCATATAGAGTGATATTAAAATTTCCCTAATTTAGGTTTTTAACAAATTGTCCAGTTGAGATTTTTGCTAAATGCATAGTTTAGCATATAGAGTGATATTCCGAAAATTTCCGAAAGTAGTAATTTCCGGAAGTTTCCGAAAATTCCATATCGGAATAGAGTTAGTATATTCTGAATTTTCAGAATCGGCATCAGAACTGAAAATCAATTCTAAAAAATTTCGGATTTGAATTCGGAACACCTGTTTTCGATCCGTTCCGGCCGAATTACACCCCTAATATTATGTATGTGATATATTATATAATATATGTAATATGTATAATATATGTGTATATATGTGTATATATATTTATATTATAGTATGTGTATAATAATAATAATAATATACTTGTATATACATATGTATATTATATAATATATATACATATGTATATATGTAAATACACATATATACATATATACATATATAAGATACGTGTACATATGTGTATTATACTATATGTGTGTGTGTATATATTATAATATAAAATATATGGATATATTATAATAATAATAATAATAACATATACTATTATTATTACAATATAATATATGGATGTTATACATTAGTAAGCATATGACTAGTTAATCATTCCCTTCTACATGGGTTTATTATTCCCCTCTTAAGGAGATGATTTTGATGGGCCCGGTTTTAGCAATTCCATTTAAGACTAGGATTAGATGAAACAAACATGGACTAAATTTAGTCCCCTCCTAAGGAGTCTTCTACTTTTTACTAGTCCTTTGCAACAATTACAAACATGCTAAATAATACAAGGATTAACTATCCAAGTAGAGGATCTAACTGTAAGAACTGATTTTAAGAACAAAACAAGTTCCTTCAAAGGGTTATGTTCTTAAGACTTTGCAAGTAAAGCCTTGCAACTCCTCTTCCAACATCCATCCTTT